GTCAGCTCAAACGGTCATACTGGTCAGGGCTTCGCGCTTTAGGGTCATATTCTTTGCTGATAACCGTTTTGTTCACCGTTTCAATAACACTATCAACCCCCCACCCACCCACCTGCCCACCTGCCATGCTAAAGTGGAGCCCGAAGCCCCATCTGGAGCTTTTACACAGCAATTGCCAGTATCGTTCCTGAGCATTCCTTAGGAGGAGCAGTAGTATAATTACTCTATAAAAACGTCTAGAGCGCCTAAGCCCTACTCTACGTATGAAGGCCCCTGTAGTAGCTCTCTCAGGCAGCCAACCTTCCCGCGCCGGAGACTCCAGGTGGCGCTGTTGCGTTGTTCACAGGGTTGGGCCTTGAGTGTTCCGAGAGTCCTGAAACCCTAACCAGCTCAACCATAAGGCTTTTGCCAGGAGGCGATTATGGGTTTGGGATGCAAAGCAGGATTGATATAGGATTTTCGGATTTTGATGGGGTATTTGGAGTTTAGAGCTTTGCCGTCAAGTTGTTCAGGGCGAAGGGATGCGGAGGTAGTTGCAACGAGAGTGCCGCTTTTATGGACTTCTCAAGATTATCTAGCATACTTAGCTCTGACTCCTACGCAAGGCACCTGATGCAAATTTCAGACGCCGATTTCTATCCAGCACCCTGTGGAGCTCCACCCCGTCTTCAGGTAATTATGGGGTTCACGATTCTTCTCCGCTGTCATAGGGGCGCTCTTTCCTGTGCGCTGCCCTAGGCACCCAGCCCTAAACCCTAAACCCTACTAAACCCGAAAACCTAAACCCTACTGAGCCCGAAACCCTAAACCTAAACCCGACTGAGCCCAAAACCCTAAACCTGAAAGCTAAACCCTACCAACCCTAAACCCAGCCCCGGGTGCCTGTCAGCCTCCACGCCCCTCCTGAAGAGCTCCCTGGATAAAGTCTCGGCCGGGGGCCAAGCCAACCAGATGTCTGAGGCCTAAATTAGCGATGACAATAAGTATCATGGTTACAAATTGTAGTGTGGTAGTCATGTTCATGACCTTAATCATTTTAGTCTGATATCATCTTGTAAAAGTTTCATCAACTTCAAAACAAACAAAGCAGTGTAAGACTTTCTGAATATGGAGGTTTCAATCGCAGTATTTGTTGCCCTTTTCTCGCCCCTCGATAGAACATGCATCGAAGCCTCATTCTGAGTATGCAGTTGCCTGTATTGAGCTTGTCAGGGCTGGATGTCACTCCAGTTTGGAGTTGCTAAAGATTTATGTAAGGTTTTTTTGGTTGTTCGGGGCTTTGGGTTTAGCCCGGGCAAGAGTGAAATGTTGCGTTCGCGAGACGGGGCCTCTTGGTATTTGCCTTGCTTGCACCGTTTAGCCTTCCACTTCTCCAACATGTTCTAGGTCCTTCATGGGCAGTTCTCTTTATTCGGGTCCCCTTTTAAGTCCCTACCATAGTACGGCACACTTACAAAAGGGACCCTAACAGGGATCTCAATTGAGAGCACTAGCCTCATGGTTTTGCATAAATTTTCAGAGCATGAACGAGCTCCTCCAAACCGCAACTCGGGTTCCTTCGCTTCGCTGGTTTTCTGGTAGATCTCTGCCTTGCATTCGAACCCGCGAGCCGTACGTTCATGAAATCCCAGAACAGAAGCCGCCTCCGAACCCTAAATTGAGTTCTTGTGAAGCGATTTGATTCAAGTTGCCACGATAAAGGAACCATACCATATTGTTTACAATATATCCATATTGTCGTAGCTTAAAATGATCTTCCTTAACAAGAACCCCAGCCTAAACCCTAAACCTGCCTTGTGCGAGTGTGAGCATCGAAAACCCTAAACCCTAAACCCTAAAACCCTAAACCCCAAACCCTAAACCCTAAACCCCTAAACCTTCAACCGGACCTTCAGTCGCGACTAAGATGTCGGATGTACGTCGAGCCATGCGCGCGGCTGCCGAGAGTGGGGAGACTCCGGGAGCCAGCTGCAGGTTTAGAGTTTTAGGGTATGGGGAGCTAAGGGTTTAGGGTTCAGGGTTGTTTAGGGGGCAAGGGTTTATATAGTAGTTTAGAATTCCATTCCGGCGATTGCACAAGTCCTGATGCAAAAAGAGTTCAGAAAAGCTTTGAACGAGAGTTTAGGGTTAAGGATTCAGCATTTATGCAGTTCTTTGTCCTGATAGAGGTATGAGATCCAGCTAGTTTGCGTCCATTTCTTTCGTTGTTTTTTTGTTGGAGTTTGGGCTTCTTGGGCTTTGCAGGGTCCACGCAAACAGTGCAACATTGGGTCCTGGTGCACAGCAGGGCCAAGAGAACAAAGGAAGTTTGGACCCTTTACACTCCTGATTCCCCAGACCCGAAACCCTCATCGGTTTACGGTTCATTGTTGGACCCTTTACCTCTGGTAATTCATTAAACGCGGAGCCCTCATCGGACCTGGTTCACTTAGATGAGGCGCCGAGCCTTTCTGGTACTGCAGATACTTGAAGAGATCACGCAAGGCGAGGGAAATGGGACCATGTATAAAGAGACGTTTGGAGGTTAACTCGTGCAGTTGCATCCTGTGTTTTTCAGGCTGGTGGTCAGCGCAACCAACCCAAGACTGTCAGGTGACCGAGCGCTTTCATAGCAATATTAGGAACATGATGCTATGTTATACTATGTTATACTATATTGTACTGTATTATACTATATTATACAATAGTATACTATATTATACTACATGACGTCTGATGCTATGCTGCTGTTCATGATCAAAGGTAAGCCTTGCCTGGCAGTTTAAGCTGGCCTTCGTCAGGGCTACTTGATCCAGTTAGCCTAAAGCAGTCTCCTTTGCAGCAGCGCATGGTCGCAAGGCTTGGGGTTTAAGGTTTAGGGTTTAGGGAAGGAGTGAAGGATGGCCCACCTGGCAGTATGCTCAGTCGTCTAGGTAGGCCAACATCCACGGAGCATTTCTTCTTCACTATCACTTCTGTCATCATCGCATCTGGACCAGTGTGCACCCGAAGCCGACCTCTATACCTCTAAGCCCTATGAGTAACAAAGCTCTTATATTATAAGCGCCAAGCCCTTCTTGTGCTGCCAGTGCTGGGACATCAAGAAGTACCGCTGGGCCGTGAGCGGCACACAAGGCGAGCGGATGCTAAGAATGGGGTTTCGAGGTGCATCGCGCGCGTGCATGCTTTTAGACCAATGCTAGACACAAGCAGAAATAGAAGTGTAAACAACTAAACAAGCAAACGAACAGGCACAGACACAGAAACGTACCTGCCTACTCAGCCACCGACCGGCCGACCTACCCTACTGACCTACCTGCCTGCCTGCCTGCCTACCTACCTACGCACATGTAATGGTTCAGGGTTCTATAAGGTTTATGGATTTTGGCTTCAGGGTTTAGGGGTTGAGAAAGGTTTAGGAGTCTAGGGTCTATAGGGTAGAGTCGCAGACTGGATGCAACAGGGTATATAGGGTTAGTATACCCAGACAAGGTCTCATTCGACGGGCAGACAGGTGAATGGATCTTGAGATCTGTCACGGGGTTGTGAATTTTGGGTTTACTGTTGGGGTTCCTGTAGATTGAAGGTGTTTAGGCTTGCGGCGCTCGCAACACGGACAGTAAAGGCGAGGTATGGTGAAACTCAGGGTTTAGGGTTCTAGGTTTCCGGTGAAGGGATTCAGGGCCTCTGCCAAAAAAGTGCATTGCAGTCCCTGCTGGGCTTCAAATTGTCTGGGGCTTAGAGTTTAGTATAGTAACTACAGTACCCTTTAGATATAGTACCCTAAACCTTCAAGTCTTATGAAGCCCTAGATTTCTCAAAGCCTCCCAAACACCAGGTGACTCGGCTCTCGTGCGCGGCGTGCGCTTCATCATGCGCGGAAGCCAAGAAGTCGAGGATTCAGGGTATTGTGAGGGGTTCTGTCAGGGCATTATGAGACTCTATGAGGGTTTCACGTCTAGGGTTTAGGGTTTAGGCTAGGATAATTAATGGCTACTAGCAGCAGACTTAATCCTCCAAGGCCTCAGCTAGGGCATGTTAGGGCTTTGCAGGTTTAGTGTTCGGAGTTTGGGGTTTTTTAGGGGTTCATGGAGGTTTCGTTAGTTTCAAGTTTGCTGGTATCTCATGAAGAGCCCAGCTTGCCGGCATGCGACCAAAGCCCATGCTGAAAAAGCTTTCGCGGTCATGGGTGGAAGGTTTTGGGTTTGGGGCCAGTTTGGGGGTTTATCGGAGCAAAGGGTGTTTGAGGCGTGGGTCCAGGCGTCGAGGGCGACTTCGTTGAGGAAGCAGGGAACACTTGTGCAAGTAGCTTGCTGCGAGCGATTTTCGCCAAAGTGCTACTAGTAGCACGTTCTTGGGCCGGCCACATGGCCTACGACGTGATGTTGTTTCTGCGTGTCTTTGAACCTAAATGCTGAGGCCGTTGCCCCAGGATTTGCCATCTTGGCTCCTCAACGCTGTCCAGGCTTGCCTTTCCCACTCTTGCTGAGTTGGTTGGTCGTGTTTGGGGCAGTTCAGGGCGTCAGTGCAAACGATGAATTTCAGCCAGGACGGCTCAGAAGACACGAGCGAAACCTCTGTTTGTGGAAGATCGTCTCCCGCTTACTTTTGCCTCTTCCTAAGGTAGATCATCCCCATGTATGGTTGGGTCTCATGGAGTGCAGCACGTTGCATTCCTTAAGACCTGGGAGGGCCAGCCAGCCAAGCATTCGGGTGCTAGCCACTGGACACCCGGACTGTACACATGCGCTTGGAGAAGGTTTGTCGGCCAATGCGTTTTGGCCCAGTTCACAACGTGGCACAGGAATGGCAGTGTCAGCCCAGCATCTCCACAAGCCAGGAAAGCGGACAAAGCACATGACTTGCTTGGATCCCCTTCTGTGGGTGCGAAGATTAAATTGACCCTACTTTCCCGCGTGCTGGTCTGGTCTCAGTCATCAGACCGGCAGGTGCTGTACACGCTAGTTCGCTGCCGGCCGGCTTGGGCCGCGCAGCAGAGCTGGGAGTAGGAGTAGGGCACCATGGACGGCTGTGGCAACGTCTGTGCTGCCACCCCCCCGGCCGCCACGACGGAGATCAAGCTTGAGCAGTTGCCCTACACCCAGGAGGCCGGCTGAAGTTTAGCCTCGCACGCTTCATTGCATGTCCAAGTGCATGGAGTCTTCATTCTATGCTATATATTATAATATATCTACTTTATATATATATATATATGTATGTATGTATGTATGTATGTACGTATGTACGTATATATATATATATATATAAACCCGGGTCCCCCGGTGCAGGAGATGGAGTTGCTGAAACAGTTCGAGACCTTGGCACTGTCGGTCTCCCGGCCCCAGGCAGGCGGCGCCTCCTAGGGAGCCCTTCTTGGCTTATACATCTTCAAAATCTTATGGGGGTTAGAGTTTATAGGGTTTAGTGTTTAGCGTGCATTTTCGACAACTTCTGGGGTTTAGAATCTATATAGGGTTTAGGGTTTATTGTGTTTGGGGTTTATGGGGTTTAGTATTTAGAGTTTATAGGGTTTAGGGCTAGGGTGTATAGGGTTTGGAATTTGTAGGGTGTAGGGCTTATGAGGTTTAGGACGCAGACTTTGCGAAGGTCCCAGCAGTGAGTTAAGCCGGGCAGTTGGGTTCCGGACTCCAGAAGTTAAAGCATGTCGGGGCCTTCCGAATTGTCCTGGGGATCTTATGAGCCCCAGGGTGGCCTACACAACCACGGGGGAGCCCCTAGAACTCCACCATTGTGAGCCTAGGCCGGCTTCCTCCACCCCCAAGAGCCCTATATCCGTCTAAGCCCCTGTAAGCCACTTCTTTGAAATAGGAGCCAGTAAAGCAATCCTTGTAGTCTTCCTTTCAGTACCCCCTACCCGTTGAACATGAACGCAACCTGTAGGGGCTTTGAAGAGCCGGCGTTTACCAGGGAGCAGTGGTCTTTCATCCGAGTTTCTGCGACAGGGTTACATTCAGGGCCTTAGGGTCGGAAACCTTAAACCCTAAACCTTAGGCTTTAGGGCCCTGAAAGAGGAGATGCTTTCAAGCCTCAAGTTGCAGCATACCGCGCTCCAGTCAACGATCGCAGACATGGAGGTGCCGCCTGACGACTGGGGGGAGTTGAAGGAAGTATCACCGGATGTAGTAAGCCCTGACCTAAACCCTAGACCCTTGAATTGCTAAACCCGAAACCGTAACGCAAGGGTCGGAGTAGCTAGAAGTAACATTATTCTCTTCTGGTCGCTTAGGTTGGAACTGTATATTTCAACCAGTCTTCTAACAATGTATTTAGGCTCCTGAGACTACATGCAACCTAAAGCCTTGCAGATGGGAGGGCCGACCAGGTCGACAGGGGCCTCTTGAGAGCTGTCCTGTTAGGGGCGATTCAAGGGATTGCACGACAGTTTAGAAGCTGCCAGGCTTCTCATATCTTATGGAAAGGGGCCGCGGGGGTCGGGATTTGGGCTGTTGCCTGAGCAGAGGGTGATTTAGCACTCCCATCGCATGAAAAAGAGATTCCGACCGTTCAACCCCAAAATCGCCCTAATGCCGGAAACCCTATTTATGCCGTAAACCCTTCGCGACCCCGAAGCACATGGCAACTTGGGCGCAGTCCTGCAGGCTGCAAGCCTCACGATTCTGTAAGCCCAAGCGTCCACCCCATCATGAGATGCCGAGTTTGCTTACCACCCTTCCCATTTATACTATTGTTTCCAAGAGAAGCCGCTACTCAGATTGTAAACATATTCCGCAGTGGTATGTGTGTATATACCCGGCATCATGTCTAGTACAGTATGCATGTAAATTGGAAATCATCCATATGTATTCTTTTATTTCTTTCCATATATAGACATAACTATGTAAGCCAATCTGAAGCTGCCAGGATATGCTGTCCACTTCGCAGACGCAGCTGGCGCATCTGGCAGCAAAGGTTGAAAAGGCTGGTGCGGGGGATGCGGTTCGGGGGTGGCTGGTTTTGGTCGTGGTTTGCACCACAGCTTCTGACCAGGGTTTGGTTTAGGCGCAAAGGTGCTGCTAGCAACCATCAGGACACTTCCTCCTCGCACCCCACCTTGTTAACACCCCAGTTGCCCTCAAATCGGCTGGCCTCGAGAACGACAATGATGGCACCCTTGCCCAGATAATGAAGATGGACGCCTAGAGCGGAGTATCCCCAACCCTAAATAGTGGCAGTAGTATGGGTGGTAAGTGTGGTGGTAGTCGTAGTAGTCGTCGCAGTAGTAAGAGTAGCCGTAAACCCTCAACTCCAGCGAAATCGATCAAATCCCATCCTGAAACTCATCGTCTGGAGCCGGAAAGACTGATACAGTCCCGGCACAGGGCCGTATGTAGCCGTCCTAACTTACTAATCCATATAATGATATATATATATATATATATATGTGTGTGTATATATATATATGTTATTATATTATAACTATATACACACAGAAGTAGGTATGTATCATTCTATCTATCTATGCAACTATCTACCGATCGATCCGTCGATCGATCTATCGATCGATTTATCGAAATCTCGAAACATCGTTCTATGTATGCACCTGTCTATCTATCTAGAGCGCTCTCTCTCTCTCTCTCTCTCTCTCTCTCTCTCTCTCTCTCTCTCTCTCTCTCTCTCTCTCTCTCTCTCTCTCTCTCTCTCTCTCTCTCTCTCTCTCTCTCTCTCTCTCTCTCTCTCTCTCTCTCTCTCTCTCTCTCTCTCTCTCTCTCTCTCTCTCTCTCTCTCTCTCTCTCTCCACATATATATATATATACACCCCATGTGTACATACATGTGTATATATATATATATACACACACACACACACACATATATATATATATATATATATGTACACAGATACATGCATGCATGCATACATACATACACCTATCGTTGTTATAATGATGCCCCTCCAGGTCCCTATGTCAGTTATGTTCACAGTACTGTATTGTAGTGTGTATCACAGCCCTATTCCAATTGTATACACAATATCCCCAAACCCTAAACCCTAAATATCCGAGTGCGAGCGCCGAAACTCAAAATATACATAATATCGGGTTCCACAGGTGCAGAAGATGCATCGGGAGAAGACGGTCCAGAGTCTCGGGTCGCTCGGCTTATGTCCTGCTTTTCGGTGCTTTTTCGTTTTCGACCCCTTTGGGTGGGGGCCTGTGGCTGTTTGGTTTCTCTGCTGCAATCCGGAAGTTCGTCTTGTGCAGTACCAAGCGGTCTGACTCGTTGGTAATGGAAGATATCCCCTGTAGAGCCACTATGACCTATTGTACTACTGTCCTCAAATATATTATGCCCCGAGGCCCCAGTCCAAGTATCCAGGCCCGAGTAAGCGTTACTGGTCCTGCAGGACGTCCTGCAGACCCTTAGCCCTGCAAGACCCTTCGTACCGAGCTTGTTATATACAGCGAGCCCCAAATCCCCACATAAATGCTTAACCGAGTTGCGAGAGCGTGAAAACGCCAAGCCCCAGTACCTTCGACCCTACAAGGATTGGCGAAGAAGTCCGTGAAGTAACTGAGTCGGTCGATGAGACCAACATCCCGGCTGATTTACCCCAGGTCGGACGGCAAAGTGACTGAAAAGCTTCGAGGTTCGGAGGCTTATTCAGGGCTTGGTGCATCGCAGTCCCTGCTCAAACAAAGGTTGATTTAATGCCCGGGAGTGAGAATTGCTTTGAGTTGCATGTTAGGCTTTGGGATTTGGGGCTTTAGGGATGAAAGGTTTGGGTGTAGGGTATTCGGTGTCGCGTCCAGGGTTGAGGGTGTGGTCGAGGGTTCTGGCGGCTTGGATACCTAGCTTCCCAACGCTTGCGGGGCCTACGCTCTGGAATGGAGGAGCCTGAAAACTTACACAGCAAAAAGGCGTCTCTGGTCTTGAAGCACTTTGGAAATGGGTTTCACGAGTAGCGCGCATTTGGCCCATATGGGCCCGATGCTTGCCTCACCTCACTTTATGCGAGGTTCACAGTCCGGGCAGCTCTCGACCCACTTGCGGACTCCCGGACCTTTTAGCCCTAAAACCTAAACCTGAAACCCTAAGCCCTAACCCTTGCACCCTTAGACCCGAAATCCGCCCCCGCACGATGGAAGAGAGCTTAATGAACGGCTGCCGTGCGGTCCCTGCTCATGAGACACCGAGTTCTGGGCGTTTATTCTACGAAGACTATGGGGAGGAAGGAAGAGTATTGGTATTCTAGAAGCTCAAGCCGCAAGAAAGTTCGGAGAGCTGCAAAGTCTGAACTAGAAAGCTGCTATATGCATCAACGTGGGCTCTTCTTCAGTTCAAGCCGAAGGGGTCGCCGAAACGAATGTTAGTGCCAGAGATCCGCGCCCCTCTTCAAACGAGCATCAAACAGCCCTATACATTGTCTAGAGATCAACCGCAGGTGGCGTCCACTACATCGGAGAACGTAAAGGCAAGTGCCTTCGAGTGGTGGGGTCGGATATCATGTTCACCGACACCTGAACGGGAGTTTCCCAAGATTAGGGGTACTTTATTTTCGGGTCCTTACAATAAGGATCCTACTATTTTGCGCACTATATTAGGTTCCCCTATTATCGGAAACGCCCGAACAGCTTCAACTGTTTGTTTCATTTGCTTATATAGAGGCCTTCATGATTACCTATACTATGCTGGGGGCCTTAATGATTACCTATCCTATGCTGGGGGTTCCTTATTAAGAACTGTAGTATAATAGGCCCCAAAACCCTATTCTGGTTATTAAGGCCCCTATATTAATTGGTGCCCTTCTCTTGATGTCCGCAGCTGAGGATGTCGGGGAACAGGATTCGGTTGGTCCAAAGAGTCCCAAATATGCGTACCTTTCGAAACCAAGGGCCCGCAGTCGTTGGTGTATATACTTCCCGTGACACTTCTACATGATTGCGCGTGTTGCCCGTTCAGTTGACGGCGATGTTCCTGATAACAGCGTACACAAGCCTCCTTGTTTCAAGCCCGAGCCCCAAGAAGTAGAAGTAGACCAGAACAAGTGTGCAAAAAGCGAGCAACCAGCGCTTCAAACAGACCCCGAATCAGGGGGAAGCCTGGAGTCTTCTGGAAGACCCCAGGCTCCCTAAGAGCCGCAACCTGAAGACCCATTGCTCCAACGCAGGCCATCCTGCAGTGTTCCGAGTCCCCCAGCGAGACAAACAACAAGAGCCTAGATGCGCACTTGACGCGGATTGTTGCTTCATAGTCTGAAGGGGTATAGGGCCTTCGAGTTGAAGTGTCATGCTTTTGTTGGGGATTCGCTGGTGGCCGTCAAAGAGAGACCAGGCCGGGTTTCGGTGTTGCACGCGTTTGGCTGGCCGTTTAGTCGGCAGCATGATGCAAGCGACATGTATTTCAGTCCCGGTGCGCAGTCGTTTGGTGCATACATCCATTTCTCGCTCTCAACCGCTAACTAACTACGTATCTTCTAGCTATCCATCTATCTTTCTTGCGATCTATCTATCTTCTACCATTCTATCGATCGATCTTTCCATCGATCTATCTATCACCGATCGATCTGTGTGTGTATTTCTTGCTATCTGCCTATCCACCTTCTTACCTATCTATGCATGTATGTAGGTATCTATCTATCTACCCAACGGTCTATCTATCATCTATCTATCCATCTATCTATCTATCTGTCTATCTGTTTGTCGATGTATCGATCGTGACACATATTATGCGGACGTGGGCATAGTCAACAAGCTCAATTAACCATGTCGGCGCGGGACAATAACAAGTGTTTCCCTTATGCTCAGCACGCCTGATCTAGGCGCCCCCGAGGCTCCAAAGCCAAAACAGCCTAAAGCCTTGACAAGTGTAATAAATATAATACTAATACCTATACGAAAAATAGTTCTGATAATAATAACAACTACTAGTAACAATCAATAATAATCCCAAAATATACTAACACATCCTAAAGCCTTGACGTCCAAACCCCCAACCCCAAACAGAGCACGGTGGAAGCCCTCAAAGAAGCGCGTGCCAGTAACACCTCTAGCACCATCACAATCAGAGGACCGGCAAGACCCATCATCTCCTCGAGAAGGTGAGGCAGAGCCATAAGCTCCCAAGCAGCATTAAGGTTTAGGGTTTTAGGGGGAGGGTTGGGAGGATTCCAGCCCTCGAAAGTCATAGAGGGTGGCCCCAAATATTCACACCTGTATTGGTCTCTTCAGACACCTCTGCATGTTGTCGCCACGTTCGTCCATTTTCCAGTGGGTCCTGTGGCACCGAGATCTTGAAACAATCACCTCACTGACGACACCTTTGAATTCTTGATTCGTGGGGCTTTCAAAGTCAGGTAGTTCTGCGGCCTCTTTGATAGCTTGTTCCACATTGACTGCTTCATGTATGAGCGGAGTCGCATCACTTGCTTCATCTACCAATATGTCAGGGCCATCAGACCCGGCCACCCCATTGTTACGGCCCCTTATAACATATGGTATCTTGACATGATTATTCACTTGCCCTTAGGAACACTCTTGCAGGAGGTGTTGCTGCCTTCCTATTCCTGTGTACCGATAGTTCGTTCGCATGGTTGCTAAAGTCCTTTTTAGGGTGTTCTAAGCAGATCGGTAAGGAACCTTGGGATTAATTAGGACTTGGGGATTTTGGGTTGTCTATCTGAGTGCTTCCGGAGCGCTAGTAAGTAGCTTGTGGCCAGCACTACAGCAATTATGAATCGTGGAAAGTAAGCGGACAGCCATCACGATTCCACTAACCCTATTATGACCAACAACAATCTCAGGATAACAACCCCATTCTGCCGAAAGGTCCCATGTCTCGAAACCTGGGTCAACCGCCTCGGTTTGCCCAGACCCGGGGCCTTCTGCCACGGTTTTTACGGGAGCCCCGGTTTCCAAGAACCTTCGGACTTTCGCACCCTTGACGCCGAGTCTTTCCTTCATTGTTTTACAATATTGGATGCCCCAGAAGTCCGAGGCTCCATCCCCATGAGTCCAAGGTTCGTAAGAGTTTCGATTCTAAATATTTGACGAAGGAGTGCAGGACCAGGACAGAGTCAGCCCGGCAAGCGCCTTCACTTTTAAACTTTTGGACTGCATGCATGACGTCCGCAGAACGCTTCCAAGAAGATGTGGTTTTTCAACACGCGCCCTGCGGAGGGGTGTTCATATCAGTTTTATGAGGCTCAAACATTTTGCCCTTCTGAACCCAACAGCAAGTAGTGACACGCATCACCTGCAAATCCAAATGAATGCGGGCAACACTGGGTGGGCGCAACCCTGAAACCTACACTGCTGAATTACGCAAGTGTCTGAAACGATTAAAGCTTCTCCAAGCACGGATTGAACATTTAACTATCTATGTATAAGTGGCTGCGTTGCAGTTGAAGATTGTTTTTTTCGGACCTGCCGATGCAGGCCATGTAGAAGCTGGAGGTTTCCAATAAACTCAGGGGCTTTACCCTCGACGTATGCCCTGAATAGTTGCAGCAGCGTGCTTGCAAAGACCCCCGAACCCAAAACCCCTGAACAGGGAGCCGTGATCTTAGGAATTCTGGTTGCCAGCAAAACGAGAGACCTTGTCCTCCAAACCCGCTCTCTGGGGCTCTTAGCCTTTCAAACAGGGGCCACTCCTCGGCCACTATTGTTTGAGGCTTACAGCTGCAGAGCCCTGCTTCAAAAAACAGGCTTCGATGGTTTTCTAGCGTAAGGTCTTTGGGTGTTCAGGTTTAGGGTTTAAGAGTTGTTTCGGTTTTGGTTATATACTGTCCAACGTGGTGCCGGCGGTTTTCGAAGCGTAACAAAAGGGTCTTGAGAGTCCCAACAACCCTGTCCCGTGAACCCCAAAGCCGTAAAGCCCGAATCCTAAATTTCCCAAAATCACTTTAATGCGCTAAACCCTAAACCCTAAACCCTAATCCATTCAAGCCGGTAAACTCCACGCGAGCCATGCTAGGCCGACCCTTTCATTCAAGACCTTGCCGCCGATTGAAAAGGGCTTTTGGGCCTTCTTGACCGCGCTGTGCAAGAGGCCGGGCATTCTTTGGCCCCAAACATCCCTAAACCTTATAAACCCTACCCCCCCAAACATCCCTTAACCCTATAAACCCTACACCCCCAAACATCCCTAAACTCGCCCCCCTTGTCTCGCAAATTGGGCTGCTTACTATTGCGGCGCACCTTGCCTTGTCTGCCTTTAAAGGAACCCTTATAGTACCCTTATAGTAACCTTATTTTATTAAAGGAACCCGACGCCTAGCGATTGAATTATTTGGGGTTCATCTTGGAGCCCTCCATTTGTCCGAAATTCCGCTAAGGAACCGCTCGACTTTGCGTAAGCTCAACGCATTGCGCAGCCGTAGGTACCGTAGGGCTTTCCATGAAATCCGAAACCCGATTTTGGGTAGTTAGAGTCTGGCGCCTCGCTGTTACGAGGTTTCGAGATATGACTTTCTGGTCTTTTGTGTGCAAAGCGGCCTGGGGGCAGGGTGACAAATAGCTACATCTTCGAGGGGATCATCTCCCTGGTGATCGTGGCGAATTCCGCCACCCGTCGTCAGGGCTCGGTGCCTGTGGACACCCTAAACCCTAAACGGTCGTACAAACTTTTCTGTGTAATTCTCTGATACACTCCCAACCAGAACAGGCTCTTAATTGATTAGAACCAACCCCAAACGTGAACATACCGTGTAACAGTGTAACATACCCTTTTGTCTGTTAAACCACCTCAAAGCACGCTTGAACAAAATCCGGAAAGACCGCCGAAGGCAGAGTGTCAATATAGAAGCTTGAACAAATGACTAATGCCGCTTCGCCATTTTCTTTTGGTGTTTCGTACTGTAGTACATTACTGAACCTCGTACTGTAGTACATTACTGAACCATTGTAGCTAGACTTTCATCGCACCCCATAGCCTATGCTAACCGCTTATATGGGCCACAAGTTCATAAACCCCTTGCAGAACCCTTTTGAACTCATGAAAGAAGTGTCGAAAAACATACTGACCTTCTTGCAGTTGCAGGCTTCTTTTTTTGTAAAACCCTAAACCCCTATGGTTGTGGCTTGTCGTGGTATTGTGTCTGACAGCGTTATCCATTAGGCAAACACTGCTGGATGGATGTCAGTGTAGTTCAGTTGTGTCTGGTGATACGTGCCAGTCGCTTGTTAACGAGAGACCAGGATTGCTGCAGACCTTGCCAGGCTTTGTCCGAGTGTGAGTGTCAAACAAACCCCTAAACCCATAAACCCTGAACCCTAAACCCTAAGCCAGCTTTGGAGTTTCTTGGCGCAGGATGCTCCGGCAAAATGCTGAAGGCTTTTGGAGCTCAGGGTGTTAACCTTTGGGTTTAGGGTGCAGATGACAGCCCACCGTGCCAGCCCTTCACCTGGTGGTTCACAGAGGTGCAGAGTGTATGGGTTCGCCTCTAGCAGCTTGCTTCCCCAACTATACTTGCTAATGTGGAGTTGCTGTCAGATACTATACTACAGGGCCTTAGGTGTTCGAATAGCATTTGGGGGGTATATTATACAATAACTATATGAACCAACCTTGAGGAATTCAGGGCTTAGGGAACCCGCCGAAACCAACAAGTTCCGTGGGTTATGACCGTAAGCCCTAAATGATAAACCCCTAAGCCCAAACAGGGTTTGGGGGCTTAGCGTTTGTCCCCAGCTTGCCGGCACACACCCAAAAGCCTGCTGCAAAAGGTAAATCCCCAAAGATCCAAACTCAGGCGATGTTGGGCCTCGAAAGCCAGATGTCGATGGAAAACAAGAACCTGGACTGGGCTACCCAGGCTGGGTATACCGAAGCAAGGTACCATCAAACGGGTTCTTTGTAGTGCTCGTTGTTGTTGTTGTTGATGAAAAGGACGTCAGCTTGGACTCCCGAAAGAGCAGCTAGACGCCAGCGCCACCCAGAGCAGCTTCACGCAGCTTGCCGCCGCTGCCGCGTGCTTTTGTAGTGCCCGGTGTCAGCTTCCGTAGTAGTTCAGGGGAGGGTAATTCACTTATTCAGGTCTCCGTGGGTTGTTGTTGGTGATGTGATTCCGTGGCATTGTGGCCGGCCTGTAATGACTGTTAGAGAACAGTGTGTAATTTGTTGCTCGTTCGGTCGCTTAAATTTCGCGAACCGGGGGCAGCATGAGTGACCTCCGGCGCCTACCGGGTATGGCGAAGATGCTACCTTCCACAGCATTTACGGTGTAGGTTTCTCCCTCCCCCTCTCTCTCACACTCTCTCTCGCCAGAAACCCGAAACCGTTACTGCAAACCCCTGAATATTAAGCCTCTTGCCCCCAGCAAGGACTACCCCAACATGGCGACCTTTAAGGAAAGATAAGGAAAGGGGGCTTACTAGTCAGGATCTAAATCAACTCCTTGCCCTTACAAGCTCTCGCACTTGGAGAAGATAGACTCACCCCAGAGCATCCCGAGGTCTCAAGACCATAGACGCCTTCGTCGACCCTAACCCTAAGGAAGCAGACGCCCAAGCCCTAAAGCTCATAGACCCTAAACCTTCAACCCTAATTTAAACCCCTAAACCCCTAAACCCCCAAGGATTGTCCGAGTGTGAGCGCCGAAACCCCCAAACCCTAAACCAGCCATGCAAGAGGGAAAACAAAAAACCTAAACCCAACCGTCAGGCGGAGGCATGCTTCCTGTTCGTCTACACGGTCGAGTGCATCCTCAGGGCCGTCGCAGACAGGCAAACAGAATTTCCTTGGGCTTATATTCTGCGGTAGAAGTCATCATTGTGTGTATACATCTATATACCTATATGTATGTATGTATGTATGTATGTATGTATGTAGCTGGCCATCGACCTATCTACCTGTCGATCTATCTCTCTGTCTATCTATCCATCTGTCTATCCAACTCTCCATCAAAATACCCATACCACGGGGCTTGGGAATGGTGTTGGGGTGTCGCAGCTTCCCATGACCGCAGCCAACCTAGTGTTCCAGGCTGCTGTGCGCTGTTCGAAAAAAACAACAACGTTTTCGTCAAAAGACGAAATCTTGCAGAGATCGGAGACAGCTTCGGAGTGTGGATATGGCAGACTGGAGTGGTTGCAAAAACTGCTGGCTCTCGGGCTGTAGTGCGTGAGACGTTTCAAGAGTGTTTGGCACCGAATGTTTCGAAGGATAGCGCGGATTGCGGGGGTTTACACATAGCTCTAGGGCCTCTATGGGTGGAGCTCGTCAAGATCGCCGGGCGGTACCCCAGCGCCAGCTTCTATCTGTATCCGAGGGTCTGAAACACATTCCTAGTGCAGGTGGGGCGCACTCCGCGACGGCTGGTTCATCTTCGACGTCATACTCGTGTGTCCCTGCTGCACCCTAAACCCTAACCCCTAAACCCCTGAACCTTAAAGCTGTACGCTTCGATCTCAGGACCAGCGCATATGTGGAACAGATCTACGCGCTGGTCAATGACATCTCGGACCAGCAGGTCCATTCTCGGATTCTATGTTTTCGATTTGGTAGTACATAGTGTATTATATAATATATCGTGTGTGGGCTTCATTTGGGGTTAGGTTAGGGTTTCGGGTTGGTGTAACTAGCTTTCCCTTCCTGGGTGTCGTTGGCCAAAACAGCCGAGAACGCCCTGCAATCAACTTCCAGTAAATGGCTCAGGGCAGTGCTGGTTGATTGATTGATTAGTTGATTTGGTTTGATTGATTTGATTGGGTGTGTTTGTTCTTTCATTGGTTGATTGATTCATTGATTGATGGATTGATTGGGTGAGAGACAGAGAGAGTACGCATCTCTATGTTTGGGTCTCTGTTTGTAGTCGTGTGTTATCGTGTGTTTGACCGTTAGTGCGTGTTTATGCTCGTGTGCGTTTGTTGTCACAAGAAGAGCTTGCTCTAATATCGCTAACGTGCGGACACGGAAGAGTGTGAACTACGATAGCCATGAGCATGAGCGAACGCAGTGAGTCATAGTAAGCCAAATTAGCTTCCCCAAACGTCAAGGAGTGACAACAAGGTAGTTCAATCGTATCAATCCTGGTAACTACGGGCAGTTCTCGGGACAATTACCCTTTAAGTCATGTTGTCTGGTGTAGCTAAAAAATCCCCTCGACAGAGCTGGATCCATACTGTTGTGTTTCAATCCTAGGTCATGGTTCTCCGCGCCATGCGCCTGATCCGCTTGGTCCGTACCTTCCGTGACCAGGAAGCAGTTGGAAGCAATCAGAGCACCAGTAGATTCCATGATTGCGCCTTTCCATGCTATCAGGGTAGGCCCTAAACCCTGCCCTAAACCCTTAGGTATAAGGTATGGTCAGGGCCGCTCTGTGTCTTCATCTTCCGTGCCGCTGTTGGATTATCGGGGTCGTTGCGACCAATGGTTAGGATCTTCATACTGTTCCCTTGGAACTGCTGCAAGCAGGAGGAGTGTTACCAGCACATTTTACCCGAACGGGCGTTTTTTGCTATTGGTGTTTTCTTGCCGTCGTGCCCTGCCGCTGAGGCCCAGGCAATGAGTGAACGACCAGTTGGGACCCCAAACTCCCCCAAGCACCAACAGCATAAATAACTCTCCCCGCACCAACAGCAAAAGAACACTCCCCGTGCAAGAACAGCAAACTTCAAGACCCCCCGGCACCAACAGCGCGAACCTTACAAGTACCGCTGCAACAACTCCTCCTACTGCTGCTGCGGCTACAGCTACGGCTGCCGCTGCTATTGCTACGGCTGCTGCTGTTATCTACTGCCTTTGCTGCTGCTACTGCCTCTGCTGTTGCTACGGCTGGTGCTACTACAACTTCTACTGCTTCTCCTGCTCCTGCTGCTCGTACTACTAGTATTCCCAGTACTACCTGTACTACTAGCACTAGCGCTAGCGCTAGCGCGAGCACAAGCACACACTGGTACTGCTACTTGCTGCTTCTGCGACTGCTGCTGCTGCTGCTGCTGCTGCTCCTGCTACTACTACAACAACTACTACTACAACTACTACTACTACTACTACTACTACTCCTGCTGCTGCTGCTGCTGCTGGCCGCTGCTGCTGCTGCTGCTGCTAATACTGCTACTGCTTTATCCTGGGAAAATTGCATAATCCAAGTGGTCGAAGTTCGGTCAAAGTCTGAAGTAAAAATCCGCAAAACCTTAATTCTATTGCAAATATTCGATGTAAAGACTGTGGACCTCCTGCTTGGACAGCCCAGGAATGATCAAGCAAATACGATCCATTTGGAGGCTCTCTCCCCAAACGGGACGTTTCACATAAAACGGGCACCACGCTCCAGATAGCAGAAGTACCTGCATTCAGGAACACTAAATGATGGCGCGAGTTTGGTCCTTTGTGTTTATCTTCCCTAGCATGCTGGTGTCTGAGGGGTTTCGAAGGCGTTATGAAGCTGAATAGTGGGGAAAGGGGTATCCGTGTGTGATGAAGCCATGTTGCGGACAGGATTCTTCTGAGGGCCCTCATTTCAGGATTCAGAAGGACCTTCTTTATCCAACTGCCCATAAGCGCTGCAATCTGGAGAGACAGAGATGGCGAGAGAGAGAGAGAGAGAGATAGAGTGAAAGTGAGAGCGAGAATTTGGAGACGCCTTTATTCTGTAGAGTCAAGTTCACGTAGATGGATTGTGCAGTTTGTTTTCAGTCCTGAAACCTGGGCAGGAGTAACAAAGAAGCTTGAGTCATTACCAAAACTATGCCTGATAGTTTCTGATTCCAGTTCTACTGTATACCGTAAAGCCTTATTCTTACTAGTACAGGCCGTACAGTGGCCGTACAGCATTCCTGTAATGATGTCCTGATGACATTAAGGCCTGTATGTTAGACTTTGCTACATCAGATTGTGAAGATTCAGACATTTGTAGTTGGAGAGTTCAAAAAGGCAGCCATCCAGCCAAAGCTGCGCAAGGGCAACTCCAAGCCAGAAACAAGGATAAACCCTGCAATACCGGACACCTGGTAAATCCGCTTCCCTCCCTACCGATGTCGATCTGTACCCCAAAAACCTCACCGGTCAAACCTGCAACCTAAACCCCGAACAAACCCACAACACCCTACTGAACCCCTGCATCCTAAGACCCTAAATCGCTGAAATCGCCCAAAATCGGAGTTTCCGAAAATAGCGAACCCTAATTTAGTACCCTAAATAGTCGGATCCTGATTATAAGGACCCCAAGATAAGGTACCCCTGTTTTCGGAAACCCCCAAATCCTACCTGAACTTGCACTGGCATCCGGAAAGGTTGGTCTACGGCTTAGTGAACTCCGGTCAAACGCTTCCTGGCAGGTTTTGGGGTTTCAGGCTTCAGGGTTTTGTCAGGGAGTCCCAGCTGCAAAAATATTCATGATTCAGAGCCGTTTGGTGAAGAATCGTATTGACATACTATGGCCATGATTGCTTTACCGCTTTACTCAACCTTTGCTTTCACCCTGTAACTGCATTACGCGTGCACTGTCCAGATGGCGCCAGACTTTCTGAACCATTGGAGCGCAGTTAGAGCTTTATGACGCTGTGAGTAAGCGAGTTTCAAATTCCAGTTGTTGGCTTACTGTTGCCCAGCAAAAGTTAAGCGCTGTTTGACGTTGAATGTCTGAGTTCTTGTCGAGGATCCTAGTTTTAAGTTACCATACTCATGAAGCAATACGGCGATAGATCTCCATTATGCTAAATAAGTTAAAGTCCCTGACAAGAACCCAGTTGAATATGCGCGAGCATTGGCAACTTTGGGGCTCGAGGGTAATATACGGGCCTTAATAATTACCTTTACTATTTTGGGGTTCCTCAATATGGTTACGGTTATAGTATAGTGGACCCCGAAATCCTATTCTAATTATTAAGGCCCCTGTACTATGACTAAGCCACTGGAACCCCACTCAGCAGCTAGCAGGAGCGAGGTTTGTGAGTAGCACTGTGACCTATAAACCCTAAAGCATGAACTCCTAACTCTAGAGCCTCATAGGAGTCGTCTGTGTCAGGCCTGCGAAGGCCAGTCATCAAGCGCAGAGAGCATAAGTCGTTGCGCAGGGGTTTGGATAATCATAAACAGACATTCATAATATCATTTGTGTTAAGACATTAGAGTGCCTTGTAGAGGAGGCCTCTGTTTCTGTGTTTTGAGGCTGGTGAGCAGAGAGATGTATGAGCAAGGCAAAGGCCTTTTAAGTATTGCAAGGTTGTGAGAGATTCAGCCTGCACCCCTAAACCGAAAATCCTGTGCCTGAACGCCAAGCACTCACCATTGTTGAAGATTCAACTGGATGCTGTGCAATACTCAGGGGTACTTAGGAAAGAATTGTAGTCTTTGGTTCCGTTAATCCCTAAGAAACAGCAAAAACTGTAATTGTTGCTAGGGGTCTAAGTCTTTAGGTTCAGTATAGAAGAGCCAACTGAGCGTTCGAGCCAAGGATGCTATCCACCTACGCACTGTGCCTCTGCCAAAGTTGGGCAGCATTCTTGGGGGTGTGTTGGGATTAGGGCTCATGAGTTTGCGGGGTTTCAAGGCTGCGCTTCTGTGTTGTGTTTCGGGCTCTTGGTTTCGGTATCGGCATCGCCATGAGCGCTACAAGGCTGTGGGTAGCTATTGAAGTCGCGGCACGCACGTCGGCATCAGCAACATCACTAGCATCATCATCAGCATCACGGACATTCCTAGTTTCAAAGGAACCCGTTGATATTCGCTTAGAAGCCATTATAAGCCAAAGAAGGCGGAGATGAGCAATGCAGCATACAAGTGGTGCTCTATGTTTCGGTAGTGGAGCGTTTCGAAACCGATGACATCCCTGTGCAGCATGACAGCACATCGCCCCGCAACCAAGACAGCAGCAAGAGCAACGCACGAACAGCGCGACAGTGTTAAGATGTGAAGAAGTTCGGCATCAAGCCAATGCTGCCAAGCCACTGGAGATGAGGCCCCAAGTACACTGGAACTGCCACGAAGCTTAGTCGTGGCAGGCAGTACGTTTGCGGTTGGGCGTTGTTACACGTATGGTGGTCAAGCCTCCATCTTCTGAACATTGCTTTCGAGTAGAGTCCTAATCACTGGACCCTTGGCTCGACCGCACAAAAGACGGCACCTTGCAAACGGCTTCTTTCATTTGCACCTTTCTCTTGCGGCTTCGAGTTCGGATCGGGAGTATTCCAATCGGTTCAGGGCTGGAGTTTCCGAAAATGACGGGGCACCTCTTTCAGGGGTCCTTCTAATGAGGATCCTACCATTTAGGGCTATATATATATATATATATATATATGGATGGTCCCCGGTTTTGGAAAACTCTCACATGGTAGAGGCAGAGTGGATCCCTCAGGCTTTTCCTCGTCCTCTACGTCTTTGGAGTGTTGGCTCTGGAGCTTATCAGCAGCTTGGTCTGGTATTTGGAGATCGAGTCCGATTGTTAGGAATTTTAAGTGTAAAAACGACTCGCTCGGACCGGGCTGCTGGACAACGAGGCCTGCTGCAAAAAGGAATTTTAGGGTTTATGGCTTAATATAGGGGCCTTCATAATGAACTATACTATGATGGGGGGCTCCTGATTAGGAGTATATATAGTATAATGGGCCCCAAAACCCCATTCTAATTATTAAGGCCCTATATTATGGCTCTCCAGTAGATCAGACTCTCGGTGCTTTCAACAGCAAGTCAAGCTTTGTGGAGGTCGATTCTAAGTTCGACTTGGCATAGGACATGTCCTCCACTGTTCCCGAAGCATCCTTGATGCAGCATTACAAGCATTTTAGGATTTTCAGCATCTTCCCATCAGAAATGCCACACCCCTGTTGCCTGTCGCATGACTCACAACTAAGACATCCCGGGTGCGAGCACGAGCATCAACAGCATCTACAAATGTGCAATGGGCCGCAAGCATACATTCAGAACTCGTGTGGACTAACATGTAGCACGGCAGAGAGCCCACAATCGGACGACCTGTGCACACAGCGTGTGTCGTAGTGACATTGCATGACATTGCTCGCAGGAGCATGTAGCAAGGATAACCATCATCAGCTGCTTCATATTCCTTCTCCACCTGCCCTTTGTCTTGCTCGTAATTGTCGTCGGTTTTAGCATTAGCATCGGAGCCCTGGGCCTCAACCCTGAGCCCTGCACCGAGCCCTAAGGCAACGACGACCACCTGCGTAACAACGAGGACACGAGAGAAATCCTGCGTCTCGTCCGACCGTAGGTTTAGGGACTCAGGTTTTGCGGTTTCCGTAGCGAGCAGTCGTCTGGATTGTGTACGGTGGGTGGAGGTGGTGTTTGGAGCCGTGACTGTTGGTGGTAAGCGCCTGCTGGTATACTACCTGTTGCGGGGGCTTATTTGCTAGTGCTGATCCTGCCACGGATTTCGCACAGTGGTGCAGAGTTGTGAGCAGCCTTTCCTGTTCTGTGCTGGAAATTGGCAACTTTATTGCGCTTATGCCTTGTGGCGGTGGTTATATACACTTGGTGACGACGATCATTACCCCTCAACCCCAAGCCCCACCTGCACACCTTAGCTACTGTGCAAGCTATCTCTTTTTCCGGGTTCCGGACTGTGGCGCACGCCCCCCCCTTGCCTGAAACCGCGTGTCCTGTTTTACAGCTTTGGGCTTAGAGCCGTAACCCAACCAGACTCGAGACCTTAACTGCTCCGAGCCCTACACCGCTAAACCCTGGCCTGAATTCTTAAACCACCCGAAGCCCTCCTCGCCTGAGTTACAGCGAGTAGAATAGCACCTTCGGTGGAGCCAATGTGACCTGCTAGCGAAAATCTTACGCAGAAACGATAGATAACAAGAGTAGTGCAAACCTTCAGCTCACCGCACAGCGACAACTCAGGCGAAAAAGTAAAAGAGGCCACAGAGACACACACACACACGCACGCACAAACAAAAAAAGAAAACAAAAACACAGCAACTAAGCCTGTAACACCCCAAAACCCTGGAAGTCCGAGCTGAACCGCGGAGCCCTGAAAACTTACTTAACCCTGAAACCCCTCAAGCCTTAAAGCGCCAAAACCCTGAAAGTCCTAACCGAACCTTTCAGCCCTGAACCCGTAATAGTAAACCCTTAAGCCATCAAGCCCCTAAATCCTAAACCCTAAACCCTACAGCCCTAAACCTTGTGCGAGTTTGAGCATCGAAACCGGAAGGTCTGAGAACTTCAGCTCCCTCGGGGTGACCATGATCACTTTGACGCAGTTCGCGACGTTGGAGCGGCAGCGTTAGTAGCCCTTAGGGCAGGGTTTCGAGTCTGAATGCACTTGTGGCTCCAAATCGCGCTGTGGTTAAGGCTCATTTGCCTTTCTAAGATCCGATTGAACTGTGATCGGTGCTTTGCACGAGCCCAGACATCACGGAATTCCGTGAGGACTCCATCGCCGACATCTACCTCCCCTTGACCAAGCAGCAACCTTATCTGGTCATCTACTTCTTCCTGCTGCACCTCGTCCAAGCTCAAATCCCTGCAGCGCTAGAATCAAATGTCGCATGTCCAAAAGACGATGATAACGAATCATATAACACAGTATAATATGATACCATACACCATACCATCGTATCATATATGATCATATAGTTTAGCATAAAACAATATAACACAGTGTGATATACTATCCGATAGTATAATGTAATGTAATATAGAATACCATAGTATCATGTAATGTTATATGACATAATGCAATACAATGCAAGGCAAGACCAGATGGTTTATGTACAGCATAGTATGGTTTAGCATGGCATAGTATAACAGCATAACAGAATAGAAGGGACCAGAAGCCTATTGCTTTCATATATATATATATATATATATGTATATGTATATGTATATGTATATGTATATGTATATGTATATGTATATGTATATGTATATGTAATATATATACATACACATACATACGTGCACAGACTGCATATATGTCCGCATGTGTGTACGTGCGTGTATACTTGTGTATAATATATATATATATATATATATATATATACACATCTACACATATTATGGCTTCAGCAGGGCGGGAGGGACACATACATACACATTTGTACCTAAGTTACTTGCATGCTATATGTACTTTGCCTGACGCCCGAGGGGATGGAGCAGAAAAAACGCCTCTTCCCACAGCACTGACGGTACCTAGACTTGGTACTTACAACCAGAAACTCAGGAGCTTACTGTAGGCCTCCATCAGTTTGCCTGCATTTAGCGCATCGTTCATGGCCGGACGTCGGTAGCCCTAGCCGCCCGAGCCCACTATCCTCACAATGTCAATGACAAACCCACCTGCTATCCTTGAAAAGCCACAAACATGCATCGCTCACAGGATGGCCATCGTTTCCATCTCGCTCATGCGGCTTGGCATTTTGCAATGTGGAGCCTGAACGAAGGACGACAGCAACTCGAAGTGCTTCAGAGAGGAACAGCGAGGGAAAGTTGACTCCACTTCCTCGACTTGAGCGTTTCGCCTGAGTATTTCGCAGTTGAGGGGTTCCTCTGCAGGTTATTCGAAGTATGCAGAGTCCGTTTGTGTTTTTTTACCCCTAGCACCGTAGTTGGCATCATGCTCCCGGAAGGTGCTATATTTAGCTTGTTGCGAATCCTCGAATCTTAGACGACCGCCTCGCGCTGGAATCCTGACACTCCTACGGAGGATAGGTGTGGCATACGGTTTAGGGTTCAGGCTGCACACTCAGTTGCAAAGACAAAGTATGAGAGTCTACGTGGTTCACAGCTTGACGGGGTCGTAAACGCAAGGAGCCACCCCACAAAGCCGAAAAGCACCTAAACCCTCAACCGCCTACAGCTTGAACGCTGAAGCCCACGCCAAGGAATCTCGTTACTGCCGTCATTGTCGAGGGGGCCCTAGAGCATGCCCGCCAGGACAGAGAGGAGGAGCAAAAGTGGCTGGCCTTTGGTTCTTGTAGCTTTTTTGTATTTGGGGCTTGAATAGAGAGTGTTAGGGCCGTTTAGGGCCTGGTTCGTGGTGATAGAGGGTTCAGGATTCCATTGGCTGTTGCGCCAAGGGGGGTGGAAGTCTATTCGCGTTTTGGGTTAGTTGTCAGTGATGCCACCCTAACCCTAAACCCTAAACCATTTTCTTCAAGTTCTTGATCTCGGCTGGGCAGAACTTCCGGACTCCCTCGATTCGGGGTTGCGGGGTGGTTACGGAAAATGATTACCCACAGGCCCCACGGTTGTTCCTTTTTGGGGCTACCTTGCAGGATTCGACATATGGACCCCCAAGAGGAAAATTTATACTATGGGTAGGCTGGACACCTAAATACCACTCTCCAGCCTTTCCAGAGGGCTAGGTTTGCGGGGGAGCCGAATCCCCGCTCTGGCCTGCCACAGCTTGCGAGTTGGGGCTCTAATATGGGAGTTACCTTATTTTGGGGTCCTTATAAAGGTATCCTACTATTGAGGGTACTATATTAGGGTCACTATTTTCGGAAACCCCCATTTAGGGCTTCCGGTGATTTCAGGTACCCATGGGGCTCTTTCATGCAGTATAACTGTGATGTAAACACCTACCTGCCAGGCCTACGCTTTATCTACCTATCGACATGCAGGTACACAAATGCATGCATTCACCACATATGCACATGCGTATATGTATATGTATGTGTACATCTACAGAGGCTTGTAACTGTATTAGCAAGGTTGGCTCTCGTCACCACCAAGCAGATGCTCCCCGAGATCGTGTCGCCGCTTCCTCACGTTGGGGTCTGCTGAATAATGAATTAACACTCGTACCCCGTGTAGTCCCCGAAAAATGATAAAATACCATATCCATGAACTCATCATCGAACTTTGAACGCCCCTAGAGTTTCCTCTTTCCACGAAGCGATGTGAGATAATATCATGCGTGTCGCTGTCGTATCGCATTACCACATTATCCTTAGTTGTAGCATGCTATACGAACTCAGGGGCTTCTAGATTCTAGGGCCTTCAGAGTATGGGGATTTGCCCAAGTTTGCCGCCTGCATGTACTTTGGCCCATGGCACCCTTTACTGGGTCCCTTCTTGTCAATGGGCAGCGTATGTTGCAAGGAAACTGGCCCCTTGCACCCGGAACCTAAGCAACTCACCGGCAGTCAGACGATGTGCCGGCAACAGTCATACAGCGTTCACCGAATCGCCAAGCTGCTGACGCAAACCCTAACACAGAATCCCTGGAGCTCCAAACACCCGAGTCCATAAAGCCCCACAGTACCTTGAAAAAACCACTCAGACCCGAATCAAATATCAACGTCCCAAAAACTCTGAAGAGCAACAGAGCCAAAACAATCCTTAAGCCCCAAGAAGAGACCTCATCCGGCTTCCACGAGGTGCTTGTGCGTAGGCACCACAAAATCTTAACAAGCCTAAAACCCCCCAAAGACCCTTGATCCCTTTCTTAACAAACCCTGAACTTCTTCAAAAACCCTTTGGCAAACTCCAGAAAATCCTAAAGACGCGAAGCTCGGGCTCCTTTGGACAAGGCCCCTAAAGGCTAAACCTTAAAAGCCCTGTAGCAAACCCTCAAAAATCCGAAAGACTTGAATACCCCACCCTAAACCCTAAACCCTGAACCGTGGCCCCCCCTTTGTAAAAGGCTCTTCGACTTGGTCGATGCGGACTCATCTGGCGAAATCGTTCTGGAGGAGATGCGAGAGCTACTTTCTCAAACCAAAGCATATACATACATGCAAACATACAGTTACATACTTGTACATACATATATAGATATACGATGAGCTCTGAAGGAGCATACCTTACATACTGTAAATTCTGGTTTTGTAGCACTGTGCTCGACTACCCGAGCGCCATACACAGCCTCTCAATGGGAACATTTGTACGGGATATGCCTGAAATGGAGAGTTTCCTAACAGGGCTTATCATCAGGAGTAACATGGACATCCCTTACAAATTACAACAGGATCTCCAATGTGACATAGTCAAGCCAAAGGGGGCTGGGATCTATTTGTGGATCCGAAATCCGAAACCCCAAACTCTTAGTGGGATTGAGGTTTAATTTAGGGTTTATAGGTTTTCAAGTTGAGAGGGGTTAGTTGTATTGTATAGGGCAAAACGGGTAATGTAGGAGTCGCGTAGAAGCTAAACCTAGGCTTTCGCAAGCAATTTGCTAAGAATCAGGCCCTGGTAGGATCAAAACCCACATGTCGTTGAGGCGATGGCTGCAAGAACCCCCCGCTTAAGGTAGTCCTTACCTTTGGTTAGTAGGGAATGGAAGAATGGTAGCAATAGTAGTTATAATTCTATCCCATTCCTCCATTCCGTACTAACCAAAGGTAAGAGTCAAGGGCTGTCAACCTCAAGAAGCCCTAAACCCTGAACCCTAAACCCTTAGGGTTTAGGGTTTTGGGTTTCGGACGGGTGCCTTCTAGCGAAAGCCCAGCCTGAAAAGCCAAAACGGCAAAAGCCCGATCAGGGCCAGGGGGCTTGTATTTGCTGTGAAGGTGGCTGAAGAGCTTCATGTCAGTAGTTTTAGTATGAATATGTATAAAAGCATATGTCTGTAGAGAGAGATATTATGTTAAGTTGATGTACATTCTGTTCAGTACGTTACAGTATATTGCATTGTACAGAGCTCCATGCATGGGCTCGGACCTTTTCGGATGGTGTTGTCTCTTGGAGGATTGAAAGGGGTTGGATCCCTAGCTTTGTGTGCGGAAGCCGCCGGAAGCCACTTTCAACCTAACCGCCGAGACCCCAAAGCGTTTGCTGCCCCAGAGCAAAGTTTACAGAACCCTAAACCCTAAACCCTGAACCCTGAACCCTGAACCACGGACCCTAACGCAAGGTTCGAGGCGAAGCGAAATGTTCCCCCACAGGCGCCTGGATGACTTGGCTTTCGGGGTTTGAATAGATGCATAGACCTTGGCAATGTGGGCGAAGCTTCTGAGGCAATGGGTGGTACAAACTTGGTCTTTCTTGCAATCGGGCTTGAGGACAGGTAGCGGCCTTCCGAAGAGTAGAGGCCTTCTTGTGGTATGATGTCCAAGTACTTCAGAACTGCTTGCGGCCTTTCTTGGCCCTTTCTATGTAGGGATCCGTTTCGTTGAGGTTGGGCGATGAGAAAGTTTCCGAGAACAGGGAGATGTCAGCGGAACACCAACCAAAGGGAACCACGAGTCTAAAGCAACTCCGCTAGCCCTGAATGACCTTCTGGGACCTTTCGTGCAACACGTATAACCCTAAACCCTATACACCCTAAACCCAATAGCTGCTGACCTTGGGGCAGGTGCAAAAAGGAGCTCAACAAAAAAACCAAAAAAGTACAGCAGACCTTCAACAGTTTCCCGTGAGGGACCTGAGGTTGCCCTACTTGCCACCAGACGCCGTAACCCTCACGTACGCCCTAAACCCTCAGCGTGAAAACCCTATCTTGGAAAGGGCGCCATGGGCTTTAGGTTTGCTTTACCACCGTAGCCTACCGTGGTAGACCCTGTGGCCTGTGGTAGCATTCTCATTACATATGAGCAGATATCCAATCTACAGTGGAGTCCCTCCCAGACCCCAACCTCAAAGCACAAAACTGGGGTAAACCATCGAACGACAGATCCTGGATCGCGCCTCCGTTGACAGCATGACTGCCCAGTGGCTGCAAACCAGGGGAGGGCACCTGAACAAGTAGGGCTTGTGTGGTTTGGGGGATGTGGGCTTCAGGGCCAAGGCCCGTTGGTTGGGTGGAGTTGCAGACTCGACTACCCCATTCAATTCTATGGAGGCCTGAATCATTACCTATACTATTTCGGGGGTTCCTTATTCTAATGATCGTATAATGGCCCCAAAACCCTATTCTAATTACTGAGGCCGCCAAAATTGCACAGGTTGGGCCCTTTTCTTCTGCTTGCACTATGGGAGTTTCCGAAAATAGGGGACCCTAATATAGTACCCCCAATAGCAGGATCCTTAATATAAGGACCCAAAATTGAGGTACCCTTAATTTCCGGAAACTCCCATATCTCGGCCATGGAAGCCCTCTTTGCACCCCAAGCTGCCTCCCAAACTCCAAAGGAGTTGTCAGACTTATGGTGCCTTTTTGGGTCCCTAATACAATGCGGCACCTAATATTTAGGGTACCCAAAAAGGGACCATAATTTTGACAACCACCCATCTAGGCACATGGCAACGAAAGACCTAGCTGCCGAGGAGCTTTTCGAGATTCTGGATGTAGACAACACCGGCACGGTCAACCGCGAGGCGAATTCTGGGATCTCTTGCTGTGCAGCTGCTCTACTTCGCGAGACTTCGTGGTTGTAGCATCTGGGGATGGTCGTCATAACTATCGCTGCCTTGTTATTTATGGTGTTATTATTCGTATTGTGACTGTTGTTACTATTGGTATTTTGATGGTTACACGTGTTTTTGCATCATCCTGGTCGTCCTTTCCGTCGTTGTCGCCGTCTCAGACTGTAGTCGGTTTGGTCGTCGTAGTTCAACTAACTGCCGTTTTGGCTTTGTTGTGGCTGCCACCGCTACTGCGACGATGACCATGAAATATAGGGCCTCAATAATGGGAATTGGGTTTTGGGGTTTATAGATTATAGATGTTTTGAGGCCGTAAACCCTAAACCCCAAGGGCCCTAATGCAATTAATGCTGGGCGCCGGCTTTGGCATCGTGGTTTGAAGGATTGTGGTTGTGAGGTCTTCGACCGCTTGGACCCTGGGGCCGGCTGTCTATACTCGTACTTCCTTGGCTTCGGGGTCGATCTTGCCCATAGCTGCAAAACACACAGGTTACCGGCAATAAGTTGGCTTGAAAAGTCCAGTTATGAGCTCTTATGAAGCTTGTACACGATGCCTTGTAAACGACTAGAAACCTTTGGAACAGCTTCTAAAACGCTAGAAAACCCATGAGGTTGTCACGCTTTGACTCCTGCTTTGCATGTCAAAGGAGTTCGTCGAGGGACTCCTGAATATCTTCCTCCTCGAGGCGCCTCCGGGCCCTTGAAGATGCAGGGTTTAGGGTTTAGGGTTTTTAGTTTGGGGTTTTAGTTCGGGAAGATCTTCCCTGGGTACGAAAGGCTGGTGCGTTTGGATTGAGAGGCTTGGAGATTTTTTTGATGTTTTCTTGGCTCATTTCTAGCTATTTGCAGTCTTTTTGGACGGTTCGTCGTTCGTGGATTAGGGAGATCGACGTGCTAAGCTTCCTAACTTACATGCAGTTCCGATCGTGCTCAAGCGTCTCGCCCGGCCGTGTCGCAGCTGTGAGAGTCGAAGCCACTGAGCCCTGAAACCTCAAACCCCATGCTTGTCCGAGTGTGAGCGCCGAAACCCCCTAAACCCCGAACCGCTGGTCTCGGCTTTCCTATGAGGTCCCGGTGTCCTCGCTCCAGATGATAAAGATGCTTCGCCTACTTCGGGAGTCCATGTCCAAAGTGCAGGTGCCAGTGCAAAGAAGGGGAGGGTTTATGCCTTCTGAGAACTTGACATGCGCCCTAGCTCGGGGACTCCACTGTTGATCCGAAACCTTTGTCTAGCCTAGCCCAGACCTCTGTCACAGCATTTTTTTGGCTATGTATGAAACACACTGCAGTCTCCCTCGAAGGTTCCTGTCGTTGTTCTCCTTTGTGGGCATTGCACGGAGGGAGCTGTGGATCTGACTCACGGGGATTAGAAATTCAGGGCTTAAGCCCTTAGGCCTTTGTGGTTGAGGCATTTTGCTGGCTGCCTCTGACCCCATTCCTACATCCAAGCACTGCATTTTGAAAGAGCTTCATTGGCAAGAAGACTTCTAGATTCGAAAAGATCCGCTGTAACAAGCAGTTTAGGGTTTTAGGACTTCGCAAATGAAAACCCTATGAAAGGTCATTTGCAAATCTGGAGATTTTTTGCAGGAGCACGTGCTGAGGTCAGGGTGGTTTCTGCAAGGGTGCTACCGATGTACCTCTGACGGTAGTGACACGTTGAAATCCATCCTAACCCACAGCCCGATGGCAATAAATCCAGTGTCATATCAGGCTTAAGCTGTATCCTAACCCTCGCGAAATGCATCATGCAGAAGGATTGGCAAACAAGGAGGAGCGAAGAGCTTGGACTGCAGAGAAATGTGTCCGTAAACCCAAAACATCCTTAAACCCGGATCACTGCGACTAAGCTAAGAGGAAGTCAGAAGCTCGTAACATTTGCAAGACTTGACATGGCGGACGGCAAGAGACTTCCGCACACAGTTCGATCCTTGTACGATCCGGATGCCATGTGGTACTTTTGTTAACTTATCTTACAGTACACCGTTATTTTTATGCTACAGTATACATTAGATTTTATGACGATTTACTGTTTCTTCAGTCAGATACGTTGTTAGTGTGCTGACAGGGGCCAGCCTGCAACAGACGTACCAGAATCCCTCGTCGTCCTGTAGAGCAAGCCAAGGTGGACATGGATATTATGAAGCAGGCTGTCGGCACAGCCCTGATGACGCCACGGTAAGGTTGCGCGTAGGTGCACGACGTTTCGGATTGAACGGTCTGTTTGAGGCCGGATCTTTTACAATTCGCTCCAGGATTCCCCTATCGTCTGAAGCTCTTGTAAGATGTTGGGGTACACTATGCCATAATATACTATACTATAACATACCATATTCTACCATACTGTACTATAATATAATGTACTACCGACACGGGGGTCGAAAGGTTTCCGCTGGCTGGAGGAATCTGAAAACTTCAATTCCTCAGGAGCTGAAGCCGAAATTTCACCAGCACTGCAAGCGTTGAAGCGGGTACATCCCGGCCTGGTTCCGTCCAGCGGATATCGTGCTTGAAAATCCCGTGTAGGGAAACCCTACACTGCCTACACTCTACGGCCCAAAATTCCTACACAGGTTTTCGAGCTTAGGACTTAGCAAGACTTGGAGCATGTCGAGGGTTCCTCTCGAACTCCGCGGCGGAACACTCTGTATATGCACGTACGACGGCGTTGCGGCACAGGGCTCGGCGAGCCCTTAAGCCTGCGCCGGGGTGGCAGAGAGCATCTTCGAACTTCGAACTCAGTAGGGTTTTAACAAGTCTGACTGCAACATCACCTCACAGGCTGGTCTTTCCAAGCGATACTCGCAGTCTCTAACGCTTACTGGGAGCCACGGGAAGAGCAGCAGCAACAGACCACAGCGTGTTGCTCGAGACTTTTATCTCTTGTCACGCCGCCTACCAGAACACTTGTCACATGCACGCTGCCCCAAGGTCCACACTTGCAACGCCTGCGAGCCGAAACGGGGGAGGGTGAACCGGTGAACCCCGCAGACCCCAAATCGTGTATTCCATGAGTTTATTATGCTTCTTTATGCCATCCCGGGCTTTCTCCGGGAGCGGGATTGACTGATCCCCCGAGGGGATCAGCGAGGATATTTCGGCAGCTGGTACGCCTGCACCTTTGTGACAGTGTGCATGGATACATACCAACATACAAGGCGTGTCGATATGTGCGTGCACGTAGGATGTATGTATGTATGTATGTGTGTGTATGTATGTACGTAAGTATGTTTGTATATACGTATATATGTTCGTTTGTTTGTTTGCGTGTTTCGTTCTTTGTGTGTTTGCCTGTCTGTGCGTCTCTACCTCACTTGCCCCAAGGACTGCAACCCCGCTCCCTGGTGCTACAGCCACGGCAGAGGGGGTTGAGGTTTCCAGATCTCCACTTCGTTTTTTTGCCTAAATAAAAGCCTATACTGTTTTCGGGGTTCCTTATCATAACTGTAGTATACTTGGCCCCAAGACCCTATTCTTTATTTTAAGGCTTCTGGAGTCCCAAAGTACTCAGAGATGATGCGTTTTCGAGCGCCCAGTGCCAATGCCAGTTGCCAGTTGCTGCACATGATATTCGGATATTGTTCTCTCTCTGTGAAGATTTCAACATGATCGCAGGTTAGTGTCCCCTAAACCCTGAACCCTAACAGCAAAGTACCGGCCATTTTTGCACCTTGAACCCTTATGATAGGAAGGCTTCGTAGGGCTTCAACTTACAGCTGCCGAGCTCCTCCTTCAAGGGCCGCCTCCTCAAACGAAGAAGATCGCCTCCTGCGATAACGTTCGATTCCGGCTTTCGATCTGAACGTCTGCAGGGGTATAGGCAAGCATAGATTTTGGTTAGAGGTCTGGGGGTGTGCTTGCAGCACCAAAAGTCTAGAATTATGCTCTCGCCTGCTATTAAAATGTTATATTCTAGTTCCATCTCCAGTTCTATTCGGTTCGACATGGTGTATTATAATGTGCTTGTATAGTTATGTTGTATGAAAACTGTTGGCATTGTATCCTATGGTTTTGTATTGTTTTTTGAAAGCAACTTTTTTGTAATCTCTTGTCTTATATCTACGATGTATGATATCTTAGTTCACCATATTACATGATGTGACAAGGCTGCTACTACTACTACTACTACTACCACTACCACTACCACTACTACTACTACTACGACGACGACTACTACTACTCTTAGCGGAGGTGCGCTGTTTGCTAGTTGAAAACTACTACTACTACTACTACTACTACTACTACTACTACTACTACTACTACTACTACTACTACTACTACTACTACTACTACTACTACTACTACTACTACTACTACTACTACTACTACTACTACTACTACTACTACTACTACTACTACTACTACCACTACCACTACTACCACTACCACTACTACCACTACCACTACCACTACCACTACCACTACCACTACCACTACCACTACTACTACTACTACTACTACTACTACTACTACTACTACTACTACTACTACTACTACTACTACTACTACTACTACTACTACTACTACTACTACTACTACTACTACTACTACTACTACTACTACTACTACTACTACTACTACTACTACTACTACTACTACTACTACTACTACTACTACTACTACTACTACTACTACTACTACTACTACTACTACTACTATGTTGCGTTATGTCATATTATAGTATGCTATGGTCTAGTGTATTTATACTGTGTATCGTGTAGTATACCACACACAAACACACTCACACGCAGATATATATATATATATATATTTATTTATTTATTTTATACATATATATATATATATATGTGTACATTTGTAGTGTTGCGCTAAGTTTCTTGTATTGTAATAAGCTATACTATAGAGTGTGGGTCTTCTAATGTATTGTACCGTGCAAATTTACACGAAATCATAGTCTGGCATATTATGTGTCTATCAGCTTCCATGCTACTCTGCTGATTCCTTTGGCCTCCCGGGGTGGTCGCCCGTAGCGTGCTGTTTCGGAGCAGTCTCTATGCTGGTTATAACTGTCATTCCCCGAAGCATTTTGTGTTCTTGCATCATGTCACTTGCCTTCTGCAAAATGCTCGTGACCACCCCGCAGTTTCTTTTACCTCACGTCACCCTTCCTCGCCCTTGTGGACAATGTGACAAGGCATCTGATGCAACGTAGTATAGTAAAGTACGTATAGGGCCCTTACATGAGTTACCTACACTATATTGGGGGTTCCTTTTTATAAGTAAAGAATAATGGGCCCCAAAACCCAATTCCAATTGACTGGAACCTATCTGAACTTCACCTGGCATTTTGGGTGATGCGATGCGCGAGCTGTCAATGCCGTCGTCAAACAGTATTGGCCATTCTCCAGCCTAGCGCTCCCATGCCGCAGAGCCCTCCGATACAGTCCTAATCATTGATCATTAATCATTAACTACTAACTACTAACTAGGGTTTAGGGTTTAGGGCATACAGAAACTTCGAGCTGACATGTGCCGACCATGCGTCTACCAACTCTCTGTAACGCCCTCAGTTCAGTTGCCGAGAGGGCCCCACAGTCATCCTGTTGCCATGGCTTCTCCTGGCAGTCAGCTCCTGTCGCCACCTGCTGCATTTCCCAAGGGCGATGCTGGCGAGATGGACTGGGGGCTCTGGGGTTCGAAGGGATCGTAGGATGCAGTCGGACTTGGTGTGGACTCTTTACAGCTTGTGGAACTGTCCCAGGCCTAGTACTATGTGTGTCGTTTCGGCCTCAGAGTGTACGGTCTCTGACGGTGTCGTGCCCTGTGCCCGTGTTTTTGTTTGGGATGGGTGTGTACGAAAGACAGCGAAGTCCGGGATACACAACAAAGAATGCACAATGGACCAGTCGGGTGATGGCTTTCAAGCCCGGAATAAGTCGTCATAACATGCCGCAAGGACTTGGACGTTTCTGTGGACTGGCTCGGGGTTGTTTTGCACAAGCACCGCGAGGCCGTCTTGACGCTGTTCCCCAAATCGGCTGTAATCTAGGGGCCTAATTTATTACCTGTACTGTTTTGGGGTTCCTTATGATAACTATAGTAAAGTGGGCCCCAAAACCTTAGTCTAATTATTCAGGCGCCTACATTATGTTGGTTGTGCAGGCCAAGTTGTGCACATGAGATGATCCGACGGCCCAAGTCAAGAGTTCAGCTTCGGGCTCACATTCAGGATTTCTGGGCCTCAGGATGAAGATGCCCTCGAATAAAGAGGGCTCCCGTCCCCTGCTTAGGCCTTGCTGCCGTTGACGCTTAGGTTTCAAGGCGCAATGTGGTGCTAATGTTAGATCATGCCCGGGTCTGTGTTTCTACGTGTCATCATCCAGTTCGCCGAGAGAGTCTGTGTGCATGTGTGTGTGTGTCTGTGTGTCTGTGTGTCTGTGTGTGTGCCTTTAAGCGATGCCGTTCAGGGTTAAGACTTAAGAGTTCAAGCTCCGATGTTCACCGAAGGTCTTGATGAAGGAATGTCATCGCAAAGACACCAGCCATATACATGCGGCCCTGGACAGTTTATATTGCTCGGTAGGCATATATACATGTATGTATATATATATATGTGTGACATCTAAGAGAGTGCGGCGTTGAGCGGCTATAGATCCTGTGGGCTCCATGTTGAGTTACCCAATGTCTCTGAAACTTCCCGGTAAGCGGGGAAACCCAACTTGACCTCCAATCTGAGGGTTGCAAAACAGGAAGACGCCGCAAGAGACCTTTGCTTGCATGGGCTTAAGATGTGGGAGTTCAAGGAGCTCGTCCGCCCCTTCGAAGATCCTAATCCCCTCAAGCTGTACCTGAAGCCGACGTATACCCATATCCCCCCTTTTTGCCCCAGAGTGTAATCTAGCAACGGCCCGGCCCCTACACCAAAGCCCTTCTGCTTAAAATGTTTAAATACGATACAAACCCTGTAAAACTCGCATAGAACTCTGCTATAGAGGCCTTATTGACCTTTTTGAGGGCCCGAAACAGTAGTGCGAGAGAAGAAACATGACGATGGCCAGAGGCCATGGAAGGCGTCCGCTCCCAGCAGGTCCGGTGCAGAGCACGCGGCTTTAGGGTTTTGGGTTTAGGGGGTTTGGGGTTCAAGATGATTGGGGGTCGAGGTCTTGCTAAACTCGAGCCCAGTAGTGAGGCATGTTAACCAGGTTTTTGGGTTTCGCAGAGTCTGGGCTTCAGTGCTGAGAACCCCAAGTTCTGAACCCCTGGCTTCCTTTAAGTTGCATCGACCCCCCCCAAGAACCCGATTACTCAGGAAACCAAGCAATTGGGTGAGGCTCGCAAAGCAGTGCGTTCCGGGGCACTCCCTCGACCGCCCGCGCTCTCTCCCTCTGATCCCTCAGCCATCTTCTCCTATTTTGAAGGGGAAAACCCCCCTAAACCCTAAACCGGAGAGTGGAAGAAGCAGGACAGCACCAGCCTTCGACTATGGATGCAATGCGGTGGCTAGCAAAACTTGCTTCGTGCGCCCTCCAATTCTCTAGTCGGCAGTGTACGCTTGTTATTAAGCTGTGACTTGGCAGAGTCGTTTGGTGTCACGTAGAACGAAGACATGTTCGCCGACATCATGGCGGCCCAGTTCAACACCTGGCAACTGCCTTCAGGGTTTCTAGGTCGGCCACAATCCAGCGAAGCTTTCAACCCGGAGATTCCACTCGCGAGAGGGAGACAGAGAGCTCGCTTCCAAGAAGGAGAGAGTGGCTAAGCCCCAAGAGTAGAGTCTGAAAGGCCAAATACTCCTTTTCTCGGAATGCCCAAGACCCCGAGAGGCCAGCGTCATTGAGGCGCTATCGCACATGGAGGACTGCTACAAAACGGCCTGCAGATGTGGACCATGTCGGTTCTGACCAGTACCGTCGTTAGCATTACCATGACATTTTCCACCCTAACCAGCTACTATCAGGACTCGCGGCGTCACCATCACACCTACAGGACCATCTCATTCAGCAGCAGCAGCAGCAGCGCCACGAAATGATCATCATGTGCATCATAGGACTTACGCGCTCGATGCTCATATCGAGGAGGTGTAAAGCTCAAGGCTAAGGGCCTCTCTCGATGCGACAGACAGCCTAGAGCAAAAGTCAAGCCAGCCCTCTACGTAGCGTGTAGGGCTGCAAAACAGACTTGCTGATCCCTCCCCTAAACCCTCAAACCCTAAACCCTAAACCCTAAAACCCTAAACCCTAAATCCCTAAACCCTAAACCCTAAAACCCTAAACCCTAAAATCTAGCACCGACCCTGAACCCCGCCATGGTGCATGAATCTCTCACTGAAGTCCAACTGCGACCGAAGACCTCTGAGCTTCAGCTCTAATGTAGGAACCTGGTTAAGAAACCTTGGGCCTTTATTAGCTTTATATTAGTCATACTATTTTGGGTCCCAGGTTTCTTAATCAGGTTCCTACATCAAGCCCCAAACCCTGAAAATCTCCGGGAAATGGGCATCTGCCGATCGGCAAGGAGACGTGGTCACAGTCAGAGACAGTGCTGCAAGGACAGGGAGCCCGGCTGGAAATCGGGTTTAGGGCTTAGGAGCTTAGGGTATAGGGTTATATAGGGTTTAGGGCTTAGGGTGTGCGCTGTGTCCCTGTGTCCGTTCGGGCAGCCTTGACGGGCCGGCTCCCGATACTGCTTTAACGCCGGCCCTCACCAGTTGCGCTCACTATGCGTAGCTCGTATCCCCACCCCAGCCACCCTAACCTCGACCTATTCGGGTTTAGGGTTCCATTCTGAGGACCCCTCGTATTCATTCTTACTACCTCTCATTTCTGGTTCTAACTTCATCTTGGGTGCATCAGTGCCGATGGGTTGCCATTGGTAACTCAATACGCATGCGTAGAATGTGTATGTATCATCTGTGTTTGCATGTCTATAAGTGTGTGTCTGTGTGTGTGTGTAGAAAACTACGAGCAAGTCGGCAACCTTGTGGAGGCAAGCTTCCGGGAGCCCGCGGACTTGCCGATCTTCAAGTCAAAGGCGCGAAGGTGTGCTTCGCGCGCAATGTCCGGAAGGACATCGACTTTGTGAACGGGATGGATGCCGTGGTCATCACCTACCACCCGCCAAGCAAGGCCGTGGAAGTTCTCACGGAGACCGGACACCGTGTGATGGTGTGGCCTTGGTCGGACACGGACGCCGATGGCTCAACCTACTATGGCGGCTATGCGGGCACCATCCTCAAGTACGAGGGGGCAGAATTGGACCATGTCACCGTGTTCTTGGACGCAGAGGGTGTTCCAGGTGTTGCCTACACGGCCTTGAGCCGGGTGAGCTACGCCAAAGACTTCTTGATCGGCAGTGTTGTGAAGGGCAGCCATTTTCAGCCGGTGGACGCGACCGGACCGGCACGTTGAGGCAGCTCGCTTGTACAGATCGCGAGCGGCCAGCCCGGTAGACTAAAGCCACCGAGCCGGACAGCTGTGTGCTAGAGACGCAAGTTTTCTTGACCCCAACGCTGCCCATGTCAGATTGTGGGTAGCCGAAGAATGGCAGTCGAGCCGCCTGAGCAGACAGGGAACAAAGCAGCGAACGGCACGCAGCACAGAGTTTGAAACAGATCATGTTCAAGAGCATTAATGCGATACAGTTTCAAGTGCTTTTGCGCAAAGCATGAAACGGTTCTGTTAATTACCAGCAATTGCATTGTAGCTCCTTGGCGATGGCCGCTCGACATCTGTATTTTTAAGAGTAGAGAGCACGCTCTGCCTTGGCCAGGGCCGCTTTAAGGACTCTCTGCCACCTGATTTGAGCCTGGAGCCTAAAAGTAATGAGGACTTTTTTCTTGGCCAGGGCCTTTTCAGGGACTCTCTGCCTTGATGGGGTGGTTTAGGGATGGCTTAGGTTAGTCTTCTTATCGCGCACATCGCATACGGCCTCGTGCGCGCTCCCAAGCCGGTCGTGTGGGCGGCGTTTCGCCCAAGGCCCTACGCGTACTACGCGCTTACGCTCGTTGCTCCGGGCCCGCTGCGCACCGGGTGTGCTTCGCTGCGGCTCGGCGATTGAATCACTTGAAGCGCCTCGTATAGGGTTCAGGGTTTGGAGCTTAGGGTATAGGGGGCACCTATACATACGATGTGTTATGAGTCATTGAGGGTAATTACCGACTACCTCTGTGAAGGCGCTTGGCGTATCAGGTAGCCCTTAAAGGACTCCCACTGTACAGATCCTCGTGTTAAGTTGCAGTGTAAGTTCTCCGAGACGAGAGTGCATGTTCTGTAAACGGTTTGTAATCATGGCCTGCACATGCGCTGGCAAGGGACCTACTGTGTCAGCAAGAGCCCGACGTACAGCTAAGACACGGTGTCCATGGGCTTCTGAAACTCTGGACCGCGCTGAGCCGTGCGGTGCAGCGCTTTTCCTGGGCCATTTCACATCCAGAAGCATTGTCTTCAAGAATGAGCCTAGCAACCTGGAGCTTAGAACGTTGCACCTAGAAGCCGATAGGCACAGAACGCATCGCACACATTGTCGCTGTCATGGAACCGAACATTTCAATCAGTCAATACTCCTATAAACACCAGCCACCAAGGCTGCAGGCGCAGGTGTCCGAAGGCCAAACACCCCCCTCCAAAAACACGAAGTGATTCAACTCTTGCAAAAAATCATGAATGCTTGATGTCAGGTAGAGAAATACATGAAGGACATGTGCGTATGAATATGCACATGCATCTGATCTTGCACGTTTATATACATGTATGCATGATACATGTATGTATGTAAGTGTGTATGTGTGTGTACATACGTATACACATACAGATATGTGAAGCCCTAAACGAGTGTGAGCGCAGAACCTCCAAACCCATATGGGGATTTCCGAAAATTTCGGGTACCTTAGGTTTGGGTCTCCCCAGAATAAGGACTATCTGAGGTACTATATCAGGGTCCCGAGTATTGGGAAACTCCCATATTGATAAAAAGCATGCGCGCGCCCTCCAGGACTGGTTGGTCGTCTCGGGAACGCTCCTGGCAACTCTGAGGATCACCGGCCGTCGCTTTTGGCTGGTAGACCACGAGGGTTTATGGTTTAGGGTCACCAGATTTAGTTAGGCAGTGCTGCTTCCCAGCTGATCAGTAGAGTTTGGGTAAAAAAAAATGGTCACAATAATCCACATAGTTTCACTTGCTACCCTATTCTTTGCCGATTATGGTATGTTCCAGCTTATGGACAATGCAGGATTTTTTGCCCATCAGCAGTGTGCTCCCAGAACGATGTTCCGTTTACTTGGGTTCATGGTGTAGGGTTTGGTGCGAGGGTCATTGGCTCAGCATTTTTCTTGCCCGTGTTGTGAACTGGTCCGTCGGAGTGGTGGATCATAAAGCTTTCAGTGGGCTGCATCGTGCGGAAGGCATCAAAGTTGTAGCTGTCAGGCGACATGCTTGCACAGTGCGGTAATCTGGGCCATTCATCATAATATGCTGATGTTGGAGCGGGTCTTCGCGCATGACAGATGCTGATTGCAGGAGCTTTTAGGTGAGGCACCGTCTTTTCCGCAGTGTGCTTACAGATCATGACATGTGCATCGACCTTAACGTGATTCCTGAAATTTGATGTCCACGTCGGCCTTCCTGTCCTAACGTGAGCTCAATGTTGGAGGGGCGGCATAGCTGTAGAACCCTGCTTCAAACAAAAGGCGGCAGAAAGATGAGACGTCAGAGTCCCTGTGAACCTCAACTCTTCAGACCGAAGATGAATTGCTAAGCAATTCCCCGAATTTACATCCCAGATCATCCCAGAGGCTAATTGCTCAGCCCTCGCCCGTGCGAGGATGCAGCCCTGCCACTCGGGGAAGTCCAGTTGCAGGAGGCAGATTCGGCGCCGCAAGCCGCGGAGAACTTGGCAGTTGGGCTCAAGAGTAAGAGTATTCACGGCAAAGCCTGCGAAGTCTTAATGCTTGGGCTTATAGGGTCTCGGGTTCAATCTCAGCTTTTAGCTTCATAGTATGTGTGTGTATATATATATATATATGTATATATATATATATATATATATATATGCATACATATGACAATAGAGACAGTCATGAACACTGGTCGTGCGGCAGGTGCTGTCGACCACGGTCGGCAGCCTAAGTCTTTGAATCACAGGGCTCTTGATGTGCCAAGCAGATCGGGGGAGGGGACAGTACTGTAGGGCCTTAATAATTAGAATAATATGGCTTTGGGGGTTCCTTTCTTTAAGTGTATTATAATATCCCCCAAAAACCCTATTCTGATTATTAAGGCCCCTACAGACTACAGTACCTTTAAAGACGTAAAGCTGCCCCGTAGGAGCCGGATAGCCAGAGTCGGGGATCTTACGCTCTGCATAGGAGGTAGAACCCCTCTGGGAGTTTCCGAAAATGGACCCTAATATAGTACTCTAAATAGTACGACTCTTATTGCAGGGACCCCCAAAATAAGGTGCCCCTAATTTTGGAAACTCCCATAAATAAAAAACCCTGTAGAACAACCCGTCATTTTGAAGCCTGGCCTGGCATGTGCGAGTTGCGAGAGTCGACACCCGAAGTCTCGTGAAACTCCGACTTACAAGATCTCCAAAACTCGGTGCCCCAAAAACCTTAAACCCCAGAAGCGGCCTAAAGCCTAAAACACCAAAGACCAAAATCCTCGAGGACAAGCGTCGTGACAGCCGCATCGAGAGAAACCCCGAGATTCACCGGCTGCTCGAGAAGATCAAGCAGCAGGCTGATTTCTGCTGTGGGCTTAGGATTCGGGGTTCAAGAGGATTGCGTTCCTCGTGGGGTCAATTCGGCTGCAATTTGGGCAGCTTTTTTTGAGATCGGGTCTTCTTGTTTGTTTCTTTGGCAGGGTTCCGGTTGTTTTGGTAATTTTCGGGTTTGGGGGCATGTGTGTTTCAGGGCTTGGAGGACTGGGTGCAAAAGGTTGTAGTGTTCAGTTGAGAGCGTGAGGGTTCCCCTTAGCCTTGTTTCGGATTTAGGCTTTGCCTCAGGGTTAGGGTCCTGGGCTATTGAAGTGCCGAAACCTTAAACCCTGATTTGACTGAGGCCTTTGGATTCAAAGTTTAAGGGCATGGGCCTGCCTGGACCTACAGAAGAACGTCTGATGTTTGGGTGGTGCAGGCTTTCTACTGTAGGGGCCGTTTTATTAATTACCTATACTATGTCGGGGGTTCCTTATTATAACTATAGTATAACGGGCCCCAAAATTACATCGTCGATATTCTTTTGGAGGGGGGTGCAGGTGGTAGTGGTGTGTACTTGAAGTTAGCTACTGAGGCTCTTGATTTCATGAGCCCGTATGCACCATTGCCCTGTCCCTGTCCAGGGATTCCATCGTGATGTGGGCGGTTTGTATTAGGGCGGCTTGGGTAACTGCAAATGCAACCCATAGAGAGTGTGTTGGTGAGAGACCCAATTAGTTCTCATGCAGGACTCCCGGTCACATTCGCAGCTTGTTCCGCCAGACGCAGATCAAGGCCCGTGTGGAGCAGAATTACAGCTAAGTAAGGTCTTACCATCAGCAAGTAAAACAGGGAGGGGATCGGGGGAGGCAGGGGTGGGCACGGATTCTTGAACTGAGAAAAAGGAGCTGAGTGATGGTATTTTGGTAGGTTTTCGGGCACTGGAATCCACTCCAGAATTGGATCAGGTTGGGTTAGCAGCACGTATTCATTTGTATAACATGAACCTACACGGTGTATGGTCTACATGCGTGTGTGAGCGCGTATGTATGTGCTCAAGTGTGAACGAGCGCAAGGCAGCAGACCATTGCCCATTTCGCAACCTTTAAGATAGTCTCGCAGGAAGACTGGGTGCAAAGTCCCTCGAACATTCTCTCATCCATTCATTTGGAGGATAAACTCAAGGCTACTGGAAGCATGAGACCGCGTGCTTTCGGAAACGCCGGATGAAGTCCTGGCAGTCTTTCTAACATATAGGGGCCTTAATAATTAGAACAGGGTTTTGGGGCCCATTGTACTAGATTTATATTAAGGATCGAACCCCCAAAATAGTATGGTCCCTATATTAACCACTGCCTTAAACGGCGCTTCTGAGTTTGCCTCGCCAAGAAACGCTCAGAGCAGTTGTGGAGGCGTCATCTTGGAACGAAGATTGCACATGCCTGCGCATGCTGCACGAAGCTCTGCACATACCAGATTTTCAGATCTCTACATCGTACATATTCCTACATCCGCCATCAAGCCTGCAGACGCTTAGGTATGGGACACCACGTCTAGTTAGGTTTGCAAGCGGCTAAGAAGAAATGTCCGTGAGGTTCCTGGCAACGGCTCCATCTCCACTGCAAGCGTTTCGTGGAAACTGTACCTCGGCATTTTCCTGTTCCCCAGAGGCCCCATAGTAGTTCCTTTTTGGGGTTCATATATAGAATCCTGCAAGGTAATCCAAAAAAGGAACTACTATGGGGCCTGTGGGTAGTTTGTGTGCTAGGATTGAGAGAGAGAGAGAGAGAGAGAGAGGCTTTCGACCTTTACGGTTTAGCCCGCAGGGCTGTCGTCCGGCGGGCTTGCCTTTGCTTTTGTTTGGATTCTATTCTGAGTTGAGGTTGCAGTGCCATTTCGAGCTTTAGCCGTTCCCGGCTGAGGTGTGTAAGGTGGATTCGGGAAGGAGCTGTTGCCGCTGCAATATGTGCGCAGCTGCGTAGCGACAACGACTTGCATCGTTCTTGGGAATACTATGATGCCCGATTCCATTATTTATCACCGTGATTCCTGTTCTTATGTTTGTCTACCGTTCTCCAGAATCGTCCGTCATGACAATGAGAATGATTGCCGTCCAGATTTTCTGTTGTTGTCGCTAGAAACCCACATCGGACCGGAAATACCGGAAAGCCCAATCATCCTGCTTGAGCCCTGAAATCCATTGCACCCGCTATTTTGTGGCATCTGTAGTCTTTAGCATATGAGCGACGGCTTTTATTTGCGTTTATACTACAGTACTTTCAAACGAGATACCTCTGTGCAGTATTTTTGTTGTCGGAACTAGCCCTACTACGGGAACGAGATAGGGGCACCGCTTCAAACGAGATCAAGTATATCTAGTACTAACGATACTTGAACGAGATCGACTTTTTCTGCCAGTACTTAACATGATGAAACGAGATAGGGGCACCGCTTCGAGATAGCGTAATTAGCCCAAGCAATAAATAAACGCAGTGGCTCATATGTCAGAGTCTCCCTAAACCCTTGCCTGCTAGGTGCGAGTTGTGAGAGTAGAGATCCTAAGTCATCACCGTGGGTCCATTGTGCGAGGTCTGGTTCGAATGCTTCATCTCCGTGGTGATTGTCTTGAACTCCGCACTCATAGGTTCCTGGTGGGTCTCGGGAGCTTTGAGTGGAGGTTAAGAGATTCGGCGTCCGTGTGGTCATTGATGATGACGCTTCAGTTGTCTATTGCGGTTTTGGCTGCTTTCGGTGTGACTCAGCCTTTCAGTAGGCACAAGTCCTGCTCCCGTGCCACGTCTGCTGCCAAATCGACGTCCGTCCAACACATGAATCGGGCAAAATCGCGAACGTTAGTGCTGGCATGTGGAGTGACTGATGAGCTGTGCTTGGGATTCATCTCATAAGACTTAGCAGTCCGTGCTCCTCGAACGTTACTATTCAACAAGAGATGGTACGCGAGGCGTGTACCGTAACTCTGGCGTATAAATCTACTCCCTACATGGCAGCTCGGGATTCAGATTAGGGGTTCTATCCAGTCGGTCGGGAAGGGAGAAGGCGCGCGATGCCAGCGGGGTAGGTGACACGTCGATGAAGCATATGCCGTAAGAGAACATCTGCTCAAAGCCCAAACTGAACCCCAAAACCCTTCACCCCATAAACAGACTGAAACTTCTCGCGGGCCCATCTCAGCAGGTGTGGAAACTCAGATGAGTTTGAACGGCCACGACTTGGTCTGGGCAGACGAAGCCGAGGTCGTTTTTCTCGTCATCTATATCTCGGAAATTCTTCTCCGGTGCATTGCCGAGAAGTGGAGCTGTCTGTTTGATTGGTGGTTTCTATTTGATTTTACACTGGTGCTCAGCGCATGCGTGGAGCAAGTCGCGTATGTCTTTACAGGATCGTCGGCGGACCAGATCATGATTCTGCGGCTCTTGCGCTTAATCCGTTTGGTCCGTAGCTTCCGCATGATCAAGCAGATCAAATCGATTTGGCGGCTTGTGTACGGGCTGCTCACTTGCGGCCAGACTATGTTCTCCACCTTTGCTTTGCTCTCCTTGGTCATCTATGTCTTCGGAGTGCTAGGCATGGAGGGCATGAAAAATGCTGAGCCAGTTGTTGTTTGGGTTCGGGTCTTCAGATGTCAGATGGATTAGAGACGCAAACGCCCCAAAGCACAAAGTCCCGAAGATTCTGAAGTAACCCAGTCCACAGCCCCTCTCAAAAACACCTGGATCCTCATCCTGCCAGGTGTCGAGGTCATATCGAACAACACGGAGCTCCAGAGCAACTCCGCCACTGCCCACATCATCACAAATCACTTTGCCTCCCTCGGCATGCACCTTGGAAGGCTTCAGAGCACCGCCGGGGACGGCGCAGGGTTCATGTCTAGATGCATTTCCAGTGAGTGATTACTTGGGGGGAAGCTTGGGTGCAAGGCATGCTCAAAGCTCTGGAGGTTTGGGAGCGTGACATCCCCCATTTTGTGCACATGCTGCTCACGAACAGAAACTGTTGTTGCGCGTTGGGCACCAAGCTGCGCATCCGCGAAGACTGCTAAGAACAGTTACAAGATACGCGTACTTTGCGATCGTTCGGTTGCTAGTTAGTTGTGTTGATGCAAGTTGAGGCTTGCTGTTGCTTACCTAGACCTAACAACGACTTCCCATCCCCACACTTTGAATCCCAAGGACCATGATGACGCTGTTACAGTTCGTCACCATGGACTCGATTGCTCCAGTTTACACGCCCCTAGCCCTTGAGCAGCCACTACTGCTGCTACTTGGCTGCTCTCTTCAACATGATTTTCGGGTTTGGGGTTTGGGGAAGTTCCTCCCCAGAAAAGGTTCGGTGAATTGTCGGAGATACATGGCCAGCTGAGGCTCTATTTCCTACCCCTCGGGGCCATCGTGTCCATCTCGCTTATGAACTTGATCACGGCCGTCCTCGTGCCGCGTCAAAACTACGGACGGACTTGTGCATGCTGGTTGCTCTTGCGGATCACTTCTTTTCTGTAAGGTTGGTTCTTCTTGTTGCGTTGATTGTTGCGTATTATCACTGTTGGTAGTTGCTGTGATGATCGTTGTTTGCGGTGCGCTTTTATGTAGATTCGTTGATAACGAGCTTACCCAGTGGCATTGCTTTTTATTGGGGCCCTCAAAAGCACATAAGCAACAATTCGGATAGGGATGTCCCATATAGATCCCCTCTTTCATGCACCCGGTAGAAAGGCAAGGCATTGCAGGGCAGCCCCATGGCCTGGTATCCTTGTAACATGCTTATGCTTATGTGCTTGTGGCCCCTACTGTTGATGATATAAATCCTGCATTACCTTAAGGACCGGAAACTATGGGAATTATGGTATATTCCTTATAATGGGTCATGCAGGATTTATATCATCAACCGTATTTTTAGGGTTTCAGAGTTCAGAGTAGTTGTATGAATGGAAACCACACCTCGAGTTGTGGTTCGAGGTTCGAGGTCAAGACCTCAAGATCTATCAGCAGTCCAAGACTAGGTTCCTGAGTAGTACCCTTTTGCCCCCAGTACATATTTGAGGGTCAACTTATCAAAACCGAAGTAGGAAACAGGGACCAAGAGCTATCCAGGAACCTAGAAGCATAAGCAACTCACTGCTTACTCTCTTGCGTGAGCATACCCCCTAGACAAACTTGAACTGCTCATGTCCTAGAGTTACGAGGCATGGTTTCCATACATGTCAGTTGCAACAAGACACAGAGCCAGAAAGTCTTGAATCGTGGAGAAGGTGGAGGGCGCTCTGGAACATGCTCGACAAGACCGTGAAGAGGAGCGATGCTGTCGTTTACGCTCTTGTTTAGCAGGAGCCAAGCAGAAGTGGACAATGTCGTCTGCCACCAGCAACTACTACTGTGGCTACTCCCGGTCTCCCTATATACTGCTGCTACGACACTGCCACGACCGCTAAGACTGGTACTAGTATTGCTACTGCTGCTGCTAGTGCTGCTACCGCTACTACGACTGCTACGACTACAACAGCAACAACAACTACTACTACTGCCTCTACGACTGCATCGGCGACGACGACGACGACTACTACTACTACTACTACTACTACTACTACTACTCCTACTCCTACTCCTACTCCTACTCCTACTCCTACTCCTATTCCTATTCCTACTCCTACTACTACTACTACTACTACTACTAGTACTACTACTGCCACTACTACTACTACTACTACTACTACTACTACCACCACTGCGACTACTCCTACTCCTACTCCTACTCCTACTCCTACTACTACTACTACTACTACTACTGCTACTACTACTGCGACTACTACTACTACTACTACTACTACTACTACTACTACTACTACTACTACTACTACTACTGCGACTACTACTGCGACTACAACGGCGACTGCATCTATGACGGCAGACACAACGAGCACGACTGCAACCACACCCACGACGGCGAGGACTACTGTGACCACGATGACGACAAGTGCTGCAACACGTTTGCTTGCACGACCGGGGACGACTTCTGCGATGCTGATGCAAGCTTCGATGCAAGGGTGGTGGTGGTGGTGGTGGTGGTGGTGGTGGTGGTGGTGGTGGTGGTGGTGGTGGTGGTGGTGGTGGTGGTGGTGGTGGTGGTGGTGGTGGTGGTGGTGGTGGTGGTGGTGGTGGTGGTGGTGGTGGTGGTGGTGGTGGTGGTGGTGGTGGTGGTGGTGGTGGTGGTGGTGGTGGTGGTGGTGGTGGTGGTGGTGGTGGTGGTGGTGGGGGTGGGGGTGGCGGTGGCGGTGGCGGTGGGGGTGGCGGTGGCGGTGGCGGTGGCGGTGGCGGTGGCGGTGGCGGCGGTGGTGGCGGTGATGGCGGTGATGGCGGTGGCGGTGGGGGCGGTGGTGGCGGTGGTGGCGGTTGCGGCGGTGGGGTGGGGGTGGTGGTGGTGGTGGTGGTGGTGGTGCTGCTGCTGCTGCTTCGTTGGAGTTAAAATCAGCACCGGCTCGCTGCGCCGGGCTTCCTTGTGATCCGCCATAGACATCTATTGCATGCATATTTCGCAGACAGCAGGCAGCACCAATTGGGAGTGAAGGGGTGAGGTCATGAGGTGGAGAGGGCCGGGGCCCGCATGACACTGCATGCTTCCCGCCATGCCGTGGAGCTACGCGTCCGTTGGTACGCATCAAAGCTGCTGAGCTAAAAGTCCTTTCGTCACCATGCCATGCATGTCATTCCCTCTTTCAATGGTAGGAGCGCAAGATGGAGAGCATCACCACGAAACACATGCTCCCGGAGATAGTGGGCCTCTTCGACAAAATCGACACGGACGGTAGTGGCGAGATTCACATCGAGGAGCCGGGTTTCGCACGGCTCGTCCTAGCAAGGCCTCCGGGATTGCCAGGCGCCCCGTGGAGGCCCGTTCATGGCCGCCGTCCCTGAGCCCTCAAAACAAAGGCTCCCGAAGAGATCCGTGCAAAAGCCTGGGAAAAGCTAAGGCCACCAGGGGACAGGCTGCTCCGAGCCCCAACAGCCCTCCATCTCTCGCCCCGAATTTTCGGAAACTCCCATTTATACAGCCTGGCAGCCTCAGCCTGAAAAGCCCTGAAAAGCCCTAAACCCTACATCGGCGAGGAGATGGTGAAGTTTGACAAGCCGGGAAACGAAGGAGGCATCAATCGTAGGATCCTGGACCGTGCCTGGGCGATGTCTGATGGAGTTTAGGGTTAGCGGCTGTGGTAGTTTGAGGGGTTTGCCAGCATACGCCGAGAGCCCCCCTGGAAAAGGGGTTTGGGGTTCGTTGAGGGGTAGGGGGTTGAGGGCTAGAGTTTAGTTAAGTTTAATACCAGGTACAGTAGGCTGAGACGTTGGCATCGCCTGCGCTTCTTTAGGAGGTTTCTGTTGGGCTTCAAGTACGTAACCGCATGAGTCCTGGAATGAGGGAGTGCTATCCCCTGTACTACCTCTACTACTACTACTACTACCACTACTACCACTACCACCACTACTACCACTACCACCACTACTACCACTACTACCACTACTACTACTACTACTACTACCACTACTACGACTACTACTACTACTACTACTACTACTACTACTACTACTACTACTACTACTACTACTACTACTACTACTACTACTACTACTACTACTACTACTACTACTACTACTACTATTACGGCGACTTCTGCAAATACCACTGCCACTCCCCCCCCCCCCCCCCTAAACCTTATCTTGAACACTAAGATGTGAGCCTGTGGTTTTGTCGAGTTGCGAGAGAACAAAGCATGCAAGCCTTCAGAACTTCTGATACCATTCCTTACCGTGCCTAAACTACTTAAGCTCACTTAACAACCCCGAAACCCTTAATTTGGTGTCGGAAGATTTTATCCTGGAGCCGTGTCATAGTAGCAATCGGTGCTCACCCAACCGGGTCGCTCACATCACCTGGCCCACTCCTGGCCGGTCGCATTGCCCCCGAAGTGGGACCCTATTGGCTACTGTTTGTCCTATTGGCGGGGTTTAGGGTTTAGGGTTTAGGGTTTAGGGAGGTGTGTGTTTGCTTTGTCGTGGGATTTTGGGTGTATAGAAGTCTTTTTTCCCCCGCGTGGAGCGCTTGGACTGCGAGTGACCCCTACGTCTTGGGTCATAGATCTCAACTAAACAACAGGTTCGGCCTTCGCACAAGTTCCCAGATCCAAACACACTTTTGTAAGAAGTGGGCATGCTAGCTTCAGCTCGAAAAGTCGGCCATGGACTTCGAGATTCATTTTCTCATGCGTGCCTGAAGCTACGAGCTTGAGAGGTGCGTCCGTGGACAGCATGGAGGAGCTTTTCAAGATTTTGGACGTGGCCAGATGCAACGAGAAGGATCTTTTTTTGCAAGGCGACTAAACAGCTGATGTCACCTTTGGCTAGGCAGCTCTAGGCAAATTCCAACCCTGTAGGTCTGTCGATTCCAAAGAGGACAGGCAAATTGCCAGCACCATGCACCCCCCCCCCACCATTGGCTGAAGGGTTAAGACTGAGCCGGAAAACGTGAAGACAGCCTGCTGCCTCTTGAGAGAGCTCTGCCAAGGACAACTCAAGCTTTCATCAAAGTTCAGGCTGCAAGAAACCCCCAGCCGATCTCGGGCAAAGCCTATGGCTCCCGATAAGTTCCGGGAAGCTGCCCTGAATCCTAGTGGACGCGGAAAGGGAGAGTGGAGTGGAGCCTAAGACCCCCCAAATCCCAAACTCCTAAACCCGTGTAGACCAATTGCAGACTATTACTATATTAGTATTACTATATTAGTATTACTATTAGTACTAGTATCAATATTAGAATTAATAGTAGTGCTATAATAGTATTACTATTAGTACTAGTATCAATATGAGAATTAATTGTCGTATTGAATCGAACCCAGATACGCCTTGAAGGTAGACAGCTCCGGATTAATTTCCCGGGCGGAGTTCGAGGAGCCTCTGGGAGGGAACCAAGAGGGGAATGGAAGCTAGATGAGCGCACATGTATGCCAGTAGGAAGGGTTCTTAGAAGAGCTCCTTACAACACGCCCTACCTCCAGGGTACCTTGTTGTTCAGGTCAGTATCCAAAAAGGAAAGCTATACGGAAGTTTACAGATACGAGGGCCTCCCTATGGGGCGCTGGGGTGGGACTACATACAGTTCCGGCATGTGTCCATGCACATGGCAGAGGAACTTATACCACCAACGTTTATTTCACCGACACCCTAAACCCTAAACCCTAAACCCTGAGCCCCAAACCAACCGTGTTTCTGCTGGTAGGGACTCATAGGGTTGGCTGCTGCATTAAAGGGGTCGCATACTAAATCCCCAAGTTTTCAAGCCCCTTTTTTTATATACAAAACTATCGAAACTATTTTCTAGAATACTTGCATGGAGGCAAATTTTTTTCTAGAACCCCTGTTGAGAAACCCTTTGAACCTTTAGAGGAGCCCCTTTCTATTTATTAAGACGTGCTCCTACAGTCGGTTTTGTGGGCCCAATGTCCGCCATACTATGCCGCAGAGCTTCTTAGTGGAACTCATGCAGAACATGTCACAGAACGTTGCATTTCGAGGCTGGGGTGGAAGGGTTTTGGGATGTGATGTCCACTCCAGGGTGCAGCAAGCCTCGAAGCTTGTAGATTCCAAGCTCAAGCAACTTGTGATACGCAGAGGAGGCTCACAATTTCATCGGTTCGTTCCCGTATCGCCCCTGTATCCCAAATTATGTTAAAGGGCTAGTTACAGCCAGCTCCATGGGCTTCCAGAAACCACAATGCCCCAGACACCCGAAGATCCACACCCAACGCCAGCTGTGTAGGAACAGTGACACTGGTTCTGGAGTTCCTAGAAACAAGCCCCCGAACCCGAAAGCTTTGATTCGATGCCTCAGGGGGGGGCCCCAGATGTAAACCCTTCACACCCCCAAGTGCGAAGCATTTACTCAGAGGCGAGGCAGCTCTTGACGGAATGATGGAACCATTCTTTCAAAAGTACCAGAGAGACTTGACCCAAACCCTAACAGACCTCGAGACGAAACGGTGTTTGAGACATTGGCCTTGTCGCCATTTGGCCAGGAAGGCTTGCTGAACATCTTGCTCCGCGAGGCCCGCTGGTTCTGTTGTCTTTGTTGGTTCTTGGTTGGGTTTTTTTGGTGTTAGGGTTTGTGGGTTTGAAAAAGGGTAAGTAGGGCTTCTAGTGGTGGGTGTCATCGACGTGCAAGAGTTCTTGGTCCCGATTTTACCAGAGCCCACAGATTTAACAAGCAGTGCTTGGAATCCTTGAGTTTGGGCTGTCGGGATTCTGGGTTGATTATCGCGGATCTTTGGACTCTGTCCAAGGTTTGCGGCGTATAATTATACTTTCGGAAATAGTCACAAGGCTCAAGTTTTAGCGTCGCAGACTTTCGGACCTTGTTTTTCGTATAGGGGGCTGAGATAGGGGTTTGTTCAAAACCTACCAGCCCCCGGTTCTGTGCAAAGGTACTCACGGCATACTCTTCAATATGTATAAGACCATGTGTTTGGCCGACAGTCTGACAGCATAAAGCTATAAGCTGCTGTTTGCCTCACTTTCCTCTGACACCCACATGGCTGCAAAGTTGTGGTTTCGGATGCTAGGCGCCGCCTCATTGGCCAGAGCTCAAGGTGTTGCAGGGTTTGGGAATTAGGGCTTCGACCGTCCAAAAGCGCCCAGGCCTTCAAGATAGCCAGGCACTTTTCGGATTCTTGTGTTTAGGACTTTTAGTTTCAAGATGGTGGACGCTGGGCCTAGGATTATACTAAACCTAGTATATCTCAAAACTTGAAGGGACACCTATTCGTGGAATAGCATCCACTGTCCGCAGGTGCCTGTCTCGTCACTTCAGATGATGAAGATGCCGGGCTCAAGCATGGCTTATATATCATACTTTCTATATTCACCACTTTAGGCTATATATTCTTATATTCTGCATGTTCTAGATTCAGTGTGTATATATATATAGCTATGTATATATATATATATACATGTATATATATATATAGACATGCACACACAGTTGGTCACGACCCCTCCCGCTCGAGTCCTGACAAAAGCAGTTTGCCCAGGCCGTCCCCAAGCTGACCTGGCCCTGCAGCCTCAATACACTTCTGAAAATAATCCCTTGGAGTTCCTTTATTGTTTTTGGGGATCCTTTAAAGGGTTCTAGTGCGGAACCCACAGCCTCTCTTCAGGTCTTTTAAGATAAGCTCTGCACACCATGCGCAACTCCAACGTTGAAGCCTTGAAACAGCCGAGGGGCTTTGGTTCTCGAGGTACACCTGAACATAAACACCCCAGTCTCAACTCTGAAACCCAAACCCTCAACCCTCTGAACAGGGATGCAATTCCAATCCCATGGATAGAAACTACAACCAGAAGGCATTTCCCCAACATTATGCACCACACTGCATCCAGCAGTAACCCTCATGAACTAGATCAAGCAGTTGCATGGCTGGCGCGACATCCCACTTTTGAGCCGGCGTCGGAGCGGGCAAAACAAGAGGGCGCATGTGCACAAAAGCGCAAAAACCGTTTCCTACTTTACTTTCGCACTCGAGAGGGCGCTCACCAGAGACGACGCTACCCTCTAATCCCACCAGCCCGGCTCGGAATGTTTACCAAATCGGACTCCCAGCCCTATTCAAATTCCGTACTCAGGCCCCTACGCTAACCTCCCTAAACACTAAACCCTGAACCTGGATCCCCAACCCCTGAAACACTAAAACCCTGAACCGGACATCCCTAAACCCGAAAACCCTAAACCCTAACCCCTCCCCCCCAAACCCAAAGCCACAAAGAAGCAGCAAGGATGCTCCGACTTCTCAGAGATTCGGTCGGCGAGTTGCAGGGAGCTTCTCGGCAGCATCACCAGTCTAAATATCATTCCTTCGGAGGCCAAAATAACGAAGTATGTAATATTACTCCTTCGGATTCCGCATCACAGCATTACCGTGTAGGGTCGGAAAACCTAATAACTATCGTGCCATTCCTTAGGGTTCCTTATTGCAGTATAGAATCAGCTTGGTAGTGCTGTCGGAGAGCCTGCGGTATGGGACCTTCTCATTTCATGCTTTGCGGGTTTAGGGTAGTAGAGGACTTTCCATAGAAGGATGACCTGACATTTTTTGGAGCTCTGGCGGTTTCGAGCCGTTTGGGGTTTAGAGCTTGGAGAGCATTGGGACTCTCCAGGCGTGTTCAAGCCTCGCCTGACTTAGTCCAGCGCGAGTGCTAAAAATACTGGGGCTGTTCAGGGATTTATGGTTCGGGGTTTGTGGCTTGGAATCCTCCTGCCTATTTTCCCCGACGCCTAAAGCCCATGCCTGGGAAATGCGGTAACTCGGCGAATTGGGGGTAGCCTTAGTTGTAAGCAGAGCACTCGAACCCGAACCCCTAAAGCCTAAACCCTAATCAAAGTAAATCCCTTGCTCTTGAGCTTCCCCGGACGAACCTGGGCAGTCGGATGAAGCAAGAGAGCTTTTTTCTGTGGCCCCTAGAATGAGAGGTGGGATACATTATATTCTAATTTGAATGTGAACCATATGGGGATGCAGGGATATAGGGTTCAAGGATACATCTTCAGATAGTTATGTAGGGACTACATGGAAGCACTAGAACTCCTGCTGCGGGGGTTTGGCTTAGCAGGCACGAGAATTCCGGCTTCTATATCCTCGCTGGTAGTTTCAAGGTAACTAAACCCTAAACCCTAAACCCCTGGTGAATGGCGGCAAGGAAGTCATCAAGCTTCAGCAAAAGCCAGCGCTCCTGAAGGCGTGAGAACGGCGACGAAGGGTTTAAGGGCATCCGGCCACAGTGCTGGCTGCTTTTCAATGCACCTGGGGTGCCTCTGTCTGTGGAATGCAGGTCGGAAGAATTCAAGCAGCAAGACTCAGCAAACGGGAGGAAGCACTCAGTGATTTTCCTCAAAGTGTGTCTCCATGTCGGAGTTTCGCTGAAAGTGGCGGATGTACATCGACCCGAAACGCACGAAAGCCCCTGGTGTAAGCATCCAGGGCCAGAGAAATAAGACGGCAGGGCTACCCTGTGCAGGCCATACTTTTGGGATCGCCGCCTTGCTGGTTTGCCTTGTTGGTGCCGTTGCGTTGAGCTTGTCGACTTTCTCATTATTACTGTTTCACAGTTTCTAGGATGGGGCATTTTTGGGGGTGCATCTTTCAAGAGACAAGTCCAACGCGATGGACGCACAACATTCGCCTGAGCGACTGCCTGCAGCTGTTGCAGGCCAGCAGCTGTTGAAGGTTTAAAGCTTTCGCGAAGCTCGGGGCTCGGGATTCGAAGCTTGGAAACTCCATGTCTCAAGCCATAGTAATAGTGACTTAGCGGTGATTACGGGCTTCACGCGAAAAGCAAGAGGTGCCAATCGCTCGAAGCTTTTAGATGAGCATGTCTAGATAGTCTCATTACACGGTACTTGTGTTTGATTGCCTGCTCATGACGAGATTCAGCATTGCGGAAGAGAGCCCTCCCTCCAGCATCGGCATTCTCCGAAGAGAGGCCGGCGAAAGGGAGCACCGGACCCCATCTGCAGTGCTCTGAAAAGTGCCTTCATCAGCATGGCACCAATCGTGGTCGTCTCTTGCGTGGGGCTGGACATGTGAGATTCACAAGGGTTTGAAGGGTTAGTGATCTACTGTTGAGGGTTTCGAGGTTTTGTTTGCGTCTCCAGAAACCATTTGAGAGTTTACGCACTAGAAGGCAAACCCTAAAGCCCCAAACCCGACACTCTAAAGCCCTGCACCCGAGACCCGAGACCCAACAAATCCTAACACCCCCACACCCTACTGCACCCTAAGACATGAGCCTTCGGCAAATAGTCTGCTAAGCCTCCAGAGGCCTACAGAACGATACTCAGCTATGCAAGTTTGACAGTTCAGGATTTAGGGCTTAGGGCCCGGTATACCAGGTTTAAGGATGTAGGCCCTAACAAGAGCGCAAACTACCAGGGATCCTTGCGTGCAAGCCTGCAGAAAAAAAGGGCTTAGGGCCTAAGGGTTTAGGACACGAACCGTTCTTTGACTTCTACGGCATTCTACGGTAAGGCCAGGAGAGTCAGAGGGGCACAGGTTTCTTCTGCACACCGGCACCCGGCCCTGCAGCCTCCGATTGTTGAAGTTTTTGCTTCAGGGTTACCGTATCAGAAGTTGTAAGTTCGATCTCCCAGGAAAAGCACCGGCTCAGCCCGAGCCTCCAATGGCGCAGGGTTGATGACCTTCACAGCCACCGCCTCACAATGCAGCTTCATCAAACAAGTATACTCCCGACAGAATGGACACGCACCACGCTGTCCAACAATAGCATAAAGTTAATTCAAGACAGAAGCAATTCCGTCATCCACATGTTCGCCAATGCAAGCAGCGCACAAAAGGTAAAACTTGGTTTTCCTGGGATCTGTAAGCACAAGCAAAACAAAACGTTCTCCACTGCAAGCATTCTTGCATGGACCTGCAATGTCAATGGAAAGAACACCAGTCAACAAATCTTCAACCCCTACCTCCGAAGCAACCGCACGCCCTAAACACTGAAACACTAAGCCGCGACACAGCCAGGTGCCGGAGGAGACCACTGGCACTACGGTGATCCGCTTGGATGGCGCTGGGAAGAACACGGGCAACGAGGTAAGGTGTATTTAGAGTCTATTACTATGATTTCCAAATCATCAGCAACATCATCATTCTTGTGTTTGTGTTTGTTTCAGTTCATGTTTAGTGCTGTTTTGATCTGTGGTAGTGCTTACTTGCTGAAATCGAAAGATTAACTACAGACTCAGGGCTTGGGGTCTTCGCAGGGCATTAAGGTTTCGGAAGCATTGGGGGGAGCTGAAGTGCTTCAGAGCTTTCAGATGTCTCGGACTCCTTGGGGTGTTCGAAGGGTTTCCTCCTTAAGAGTTTCCCGGGATCTGCTAAGAAAAAGCCCTAGTAATTACCAACCCCAAAATTCCTTATTTTGACTATAGTATAGTGGGCCCCAAAACCCTGTTCTAAAAAAAAGGGCCCCTATATTATCTGATCGAGCTTACCTCGAAACCGATCCGCACGTTGAGCAATCCACAAATCCTGCAGCGTCGAGGGAGCGCCAGGCTGTCAGTAGACATAGTGATACTTTTCGCTATTGTCATCATAAAGCCATTGTTTTGGGCGTCCGGCAAAACCCTATTCCAATAGGCTTGAGGTACTTGTTCAGATCACGATTCCGCAAAAATTCAGTGGTTACAGCAGTATAGAAGTCCCAGACACCAATGCCAATGCCCTAAGTGTGGACAGCCTAAAGCCCTACAGCCTTCCAACCTGAAGCCCTGAAGCCCTGAGCATGGAAGCTCTGAACAAAGAGGGTTCAAAAAAAAAGAAGCTCTGAACAAGAATCCTCATGTCTGCGACTTTGACCGATCGGGCCCTGGAACCCGAAAGCCTTATCCCCGAGCCATGCGAGGCCCAAATCCTGAGAGTACGACCCCTCCCCCTTGGCCAAAAGAGTTCGAATGAGGTTTCGGAGTAGGTTCTAGTGTAGTTAATCCATACCGGATGAAAAGACCCAGAGAGCCCAATACCACTTAATTAAGGAACATACCTTAAATCATATTAAGGAGTATTGGGCTCTCTGGGGAGCTCGGGAGTGAGCCCAAAAGTCCTTCTGCTTCCTGGAAGGATGACCTCCATGGAATCGCCGACTCGCAGCCGGCCACATGCCCAGAAGAGCGGGGTTGCTAATATCCTAATTTTTAGTACTATTTTGATGATTGTCATTATTATCGTTATTATGTTTGTTGAAGTTCTTATTCTCACCCTCGAGACCGCCATAATCAATGCTAGTTGTCCTATTGATTGTTCGTGTTAGTATTGTTTCATGCTTAGCTCATTATTGTTGGTATCCTTGTTGGTAGTTCTTTGGTAGTTGTTGCTATTAATGTTAGTGTTAGTTAGCTTGATATTCAAACTTGTTTTTCTTAATATTTCGTAGTAACAATCATGGACAGTTGTCATACTTTACACTTACTTACATGCTCATATACATAAACAGACGAACACACATGCCAAGATACGTATACGCACATAAATATATATATATATATATATATATACATACATATATATATATATATGTATAAGGAATGTATGCATGTATGTGTGTGTGTATGTATACAGTTGTTTTGAACAGTTTCTTACTTGTAGTGATCACTAAGCCACTAAGCCTGCCGCGAGCAGTGTCGGAGGTATTCTTTTTGCCTGTTGGTTTAGAGGCTCGGTTAGTTTGAGTCGCGTGCGACTAGACTTCTCACGTGCCGCACGCTACAGGACACAACAAGGGTTTGATAAGGGTTGCATCGGGGCTTCGTAAATGAAGGTTTTATGCGATTGAAGCTGCAAAGCTCCAAGTCCTCAGCCCAGAAGACGAAGGTGGTACTCGTGATGCAGACCTGTAGCCACGATGCGCCGTACGGGGAGCATTTCCGAGTGCAGGCGAGGCCAATTGAGGGGCTCGGCAGGGTTTCGGGTTGACTGCGACCGAATAAATACCTCCTGTCTCGCTCTGTGCGGGAGACGGCAGGGGCGGAAGATCCGGGAGGGCTTAGACAGCGACCCGGCTTAGGAGCGCAGGAGGTTCTTCCTAAGCTCACAGCATCGGCGTCCCAGCAGAGAACTGCCGTTTTGTGGCTTGCAGTTTTGCTTTCGGGAAAGGCTACGGCTGCGACACTCCTAGTCTGGCTGGCAATTTGGGAAACTTCTTAATTTCCTTTAATGGTTCCCATAGAGGTACTTATTCATAAATACTTTTCAGAGCACCAAAACTACAACCTAAACCCTAAACTCTCAACCCCTAAGCCTAAACCCTAAACTACAGCAGTAGAGATGCCTCACGGAGATTGCCCTCCCCCAGCAATCCGAGCCCCCCAGTCCAAATGACATGCGCATGCCGCCGCAAGACAAAATCCATGAAGCCCGATGGGCGCAGGTTAAGGGTCTACCTTAACCCTGAATAACCTACCCTTTTAGGGTTACTAATTGTGATTACTTATCTAGGTCCTTAATAAGGTAGGTTATGCCGGGTTAAGGTAGGGTTAGGGCCTGCAAGAAGCCAAAACCTTAGCTGCAGGATCTCCCAAAACTGAGCCCCGTCGATGTCGCTTTCCACAACTTCATGGAAGATTGTACATGAATCCCTGAAGAAATGTAATTCGATCCCCCCCGAAAACCCTGCGAACCCCCGTGTCTCCAATAGTAGCACTCCCAAGACCTTGAAGTCCTACAGGATGAGATCCTGGACTCCCCACACACCAAACCCTCACCAGCAACCCGCAAACCCCGGAACCCCCTGCACTCTCGACCCTTATAAGCCGACAAAGCAGAGCTCATATATAAGCGCTGATAACGCCCAATAGGAACCCTGCAGACAGCCTAAAGAGCCGACACGTCTAATCTCTTCCAACTGGACAGGAAACCCTCCGATTTGTGCGCGCAGATCGCGGCGTTGAGCTGCAAAGGTGGGTGGAGGTGATCTGGGTGAAGGCGGGGGCTCTGTTTGGAGGGGCTTTATGTTGGGGTTCAGCTTTCAGAGAGGGCCTCCGATGAGTTGGTGGAAAAAGGCACGGATTTTGTGGGGAGGGGGGGTGTAAAAATCGGGATCATGACAAACAGGTTTTTGGGATTATATAGGGAGCCGACGTGGGTGCCCAGGCTGTTACTGTAGGGGCTGACAGCTGTTTTGTGTTGGAGATTGATAGTAGGGGTTATGGTCATATGTATAGGAATAGAGTGAACACAGGGTGATCCGGGGTTAAAGTGGTTAAAGGTTGAGGCGTTGCAGGTTTGGATTTGGATCGAGAGCTTACAATAGTGATTACGTTGTAGGGGGGGATATAGACTTGCGGGGTTGAGGTGGCACTTCTGTTCAGGGGAAATAGTGTTTAGGAGGGAATTCAAGTGGCCTGGGCCACAGCCAGCATTTTTGGGGGGCCCTAGGGGAACCTTTTTTTTTTGGGCCCTTTTCTTTTTTTGTTGGGCCCTTTTTTTGGGGGGGCCCCTACGTTCTGTTGTTTACACAGGGGAGGAAGACAGCAAGGAAACAGGGGAGGAGGAAGGAAACAAGGAAAGAAGAAGAGAGAGAAGGAAGGAAGCAAGGAAAAAGGATCGAAGGAAGAAAAGAAAGAAACAAAGCAAGAAGGGAGGAAAGCAAGGGATTGAAGGAAGCAAGAAAGGAAAGGAAAGAAGGAAGAAAGGAAGGTCGGTAGTATGTCAGTATATAAATTAAATATAGAGTGTATAAATATATATATATATATATATATATATATATATATAATATACATAGTAAATCTAGTCTATATAGTATGTATTCTATATATATATATATATATATATATATTATATATATATATTATATATTATGGTTTTTCCATTATATTTATATATATATATATATATACATAGAGTACATATATAGTATATGCAGTATATATAGTATATGCAGTATATACAATATATATGTATAGTATATATAGTATATGTACAGAATATAAATGGAGTATTTAAAGCATATATACAATATATATATATATATATATATATATATAGTATATATATATAGAGAGTATATATATATATATATAGTATATATATATATATATATAATATACATAGTATATATAAATATATAGTATATATATATAGTATATATATATAGTATATATATATATAGTATATATATATATAGTATATATATATATATATATAGTATATATATATAT